GTGTGTGTGTGTGTGTGGTTAATCTATTGGTGCTACAGTATCCTTCGTGTTTTTGTTAGGTCTTCTATGTTGCCAAATAATTACGGTAATGGTTTTAAGGAAATCCGGGCATTGTTATGCTGCCATTAGTTTGACAAAACAACAGTGGATTCGATTAAGTTTGTATAAGTCCCGTGTAAGTTAATAATTAATGATTTAGATGGCATATAATCCTATTTCGTTTTATCTATTTAAAACAAACGAATTTACATTATATATGCAATTATATGTTGATAATCGTGTTGTATTATTAGGTCTTTATGTTGCAAACTATAGTTTAACTATTTAATGTGATTTTAAGCAATTCAATGGCATTATTACTGCGATTATAAGTTTGCGAAAAAAAATCAGTGGATTTTATTAGGTGTGTGTAAGTTAATAAATGTTTTAACATATATTTCGTTTTATCTATTTGAAACAAACAAACGAACAGTGGATTTTATTAGGTTTGTGTAAGTTAATAATAATGTTTTAAGATTCATAATATATTTCGGTTTATCTATTTGAAACAAACGAAATGTTGATAATCAAACCAAAGGATTTTATTATTTTCATATTACAGTGTCGATGCATATATTGAAGAAGAGGAAGAAGAAAAGAAGAATGTTGATAATATTATTATACTGCCAAATTTTATTATATTTTTCGCAATATTATTAAAGCTTACAGTATTTGATGCTTTATGTTTCGTTGTATTTTATTTCTAGGCATATACGTTCTTAAATGATTGATTGATTTAAAGCAGAAAGTATAAACGCCACAAAAAATCACATTACAGTATTGATGCCCCGTCCGGCAGCACTCAAAATTTCCGACTGACGCTGACAAGCTGCCGACCGACTCTGTTTTTTTGTTTTTTTTTTTTTTTTTTCAATGATTTCGTGTATTATTTTTGGGGAAAAAACGTGAAATACATCGCCCTAAAATCAAAAACTTTAACTGTAAACGCCCTTCATTGAGAAGATAACAATAGAAATACATGTTTCCGTGGTTACGCTTGTATTAGATAGGGCAAAGCATGCCCATTCGTGCAGAACAAGTGTGCAGTGTCTGCCGATTGATGAATCACCTAATGCGAATTCACCAACTGAATTAAAGTCAACATGGTTTAACGAGCAATAATACTGTAACACGAAACAGAGGTTAATGATCATAATCAATGTCTGTATTACGCTTAAGTAAAATAATTAATAGACAATAAAACAACACGTCGTAAAGACCATGGCCACAAACCCTACATTATAGGGTATGTATAGTATAACTCGGGGAACAACTACATTTCTGAACCATCGCACATGTTCGTACAATTACCATGTACAGAGATGAAGCCAGTCGGCTATTTTCAGCATTTGACATTCTTTCCTTGTCTCCCATAACATTCCTGAATTGGCGGCGTACAAAGACTTCGTCTCCGATAACATTCTTTCTTGAATTGGCGGCGTACAAAACTTTGTGTCTTTATTCTCCCAAGAGTATCATTGGACCCTACTTGTGGGAACATTTCCCACTGAATTAATTGTTACTAGGCAACTCAGTACTCAGCTTGATACCTATTTAAAGCAATTTATTTCCATTCATGCCTACAGTAGATTTAATTATTAATTAATTATTTAAATACTGTAACCAATTAGTCACTTTTATCTAGAACGTATATCGTCTTGCAATAGGTACGCTTGTTTAATCGTAATAATTTAATCGGCTAATTATAATGCAGGATTAATTAATTATATTATATACTTTATTCCAAGATACAAATCAACTTTCTTGATAAGTTCCAGCTATAGTTAAATTAAATTTCTTCCAAGCAAGAAAGTTTCAACTTAGAATATTTTGCAGGATAAAACAATGTAAAACACTTCTTAACTAAAAATTATGCTATTAAAACTACTCCGTAAAACAATCAATCTTAACAATAATGTACTAAATTCCATTTTAAACGGTATTGTGTTCTTCTAAATAGAAGTAAAAACAAACAATACATTTTTATTTAGGCCTATTCTCTTTATTCCAGAAATTCGATTTTATTACGGATGATTTCCCTGTACAGTATACCCCCTAACGTACCTGCGGCCAACATTGTACTGCGATATCTAATTCACGCATTGATTACATGTACACTACTCGGCGTTCCATACAATAACCCTTATTTGGGCATTGAATATCTTACGGCCGAACAAGTGCACGGCCGAATCTCCTAGGCCTAAATGTTCTGAGTAACGGTTTCAAAGGTTAGTTAATAATAATATTCAATATTAGTCAAGGAATTGAGGGAGGGGGGGGGTTTTGCTGGGGGGGGGGGCGACTTGACGGAGGCGACTTGGTTAGGGGGCGACTTTGTAAGGGGCGACTTTACAAGGGGGCGACTTGACTGGCATTCGCTTCAACATGTGCTCAAGCACCAGATATTTTCAATGCCTTATGAATAGGCCTATGAATAAAAAATACCATAAACTCGCTTTTACAATGATGTATGCATAGTTAAGCCTGGTTTCCATAGAATCGCTACACTGTTGCTACAGTGTTTTTCAATACTTCGACGCAATCGGGAAGGCTCCCTAATTCGACCGACAGCATCACCGAAAGCTGTCGGCGATAGCATGTAGCGATTGTATGGAAACAAGCTTTACATTTGTAATCTATCGAAGCCTGTGCAGGTTTTCCCTGAATAAGAGGAAGAAATGAAAGAAGAAAACAATGATGATGATGATGGTGGTGCTGGTTGATGATGATAAAACAACAGAACACCAGCAGTTGGTTTTCTACTTCGGCTATCACTAAAGAAAATATTCTCTTGAGTTTGAGTGTACGGTATTAAACCATGGAGGTATAGGCCCTATTTATAGTGAGTCCGAGTGAAGTACGTTTTGTAATATTTATTTTATTAACATGTTTTTCACAACAGTGAATTACAGGCAAAGAAGTAATACAAATAAACTTTTCAAATTACTATTTGTACATTCATTTCAGTAAATATTCCAAAAATATAATAACATATTGCTTTAAATATTGATCATCAATCATCTCACTCCAATATGGCTTTCTTTTATGGTGCCAAAGCCCTTGCAAATTATAATTCATATTATGAACAAAGACATGTTTTTGGAAAAGGACAGTGTCGACTAGGCAGATTAGATTACGATCTAATTGCGATATCGTGCGACGTCATTTACCAGTGTATCAGTGTCTGAGCTCCAATATCTTCATGTTTTTTTTAAATATTCTGAACGTGTTCTTACCAAATTAAGCCTCTATCTGTAGAAAATAAACCTAATATAATCTACAGAGAGTACAATATGAGTCCTATAGATGAATATATTTTTAATCCAATTTAATAGGATCAAATTAATCATCCATTGAAAAAATTAAGCTTCGTTGAATTAATCTTATTTTGTTCGACCTGAGGGTATCAAATTCCATGTTTTTATTTCTGATATCACGTCTAATCTGTCCATACCCTCAAAAATCCCTATCAGTTCGTCAATGTCATGTGTCCGATCGCCTGATCTCCTTGCTTCCCATATATTTAAAAGTTCATTGGTTGGACTAAAAATAAGGCGTTGACGATATTGTTCTTCCCATTGTTGAATGCAGTCGTCATAGCCAAGACTATAGGCTAAATATCTCCAGTCGGTACCGAGTGTACTGTATATATCTAACTTCTGTCGAATGGATTCTCGAAGAGGGTAAGGCAATAGAAGGCGTCTTCGAACAAGTCTGGTATGTGGTAGGGTACCTGATCTCCTCTCATCAGTTGCCGATTTCTGTAATACAAAAATCACCATCAAAACGTCAGCAGTTCTATATTCCAAACTTATTATACACAATGTAGACTGTAAAGTTAAAAGTGATCGAAAGAGGAGCAACACAGGATACGTATAAAAATGCCCGTCGTCGATCGTGATTGAAATATACGCCTGCTCAGGCAACACTCTTGTTCATGGGGTTTGCTCGTATTATGAACACTAATTAAATAATTTTTGAAAAAGTGAGAGACATCTCATTTGCCTCATTATTCATTTGTTTCTCTGGAACTAAGCAAAATTTTGGTCTACATTATTTAGCCTTTAAAAAATATGTCCTTTATTACAGTGGTGGATTTAGGGGGGGGGGGCGTAAGGGGCGTACACCCCCCCCCCATATTTTCTTTTCCTACCAAAAACCCCCACACAATACAATGCACTGAGGCTGCATTTGTCACTGTCACTTTCAGCCTTGATATTTATTTATTTGTTACTGAAAACTACCATGCTAGATAGTCAAAATCGACTCATTACAACCGTATATTCCACAAATGGGCTGGGCTTCAAGGGGGCTTCGCCCCCTTCAACCCGCCGGGGGCCCCTAGGCGGCCCCCAGCCTAAGGCTGCTCACTTCTCTCGCAGATTACGCCCCCCTCCCTTTTCTGTCAGGCTGGATCCGTCCCTGTATTAAGTATTTATGTTATCGAGTTTGTAAACGTTATATAAAACAATTTACAAGTTAGTTTTCTTGTTTGATCACCCTTTAAAAAGACTCTTGAATCACTAAAAAAAACTGACGCAATTAGACGAAATTTTAAAATCTGGAAATTGTGAATTTCAATAAAGATAAATTATATAAAAATCAGCTGGGCTGATAATATAAGAAATGAAAATTGTACGGTATTCTGAAAGTGTTCAAGAAATAGGCTAAATATTGACGGATCTGATCCAAGAGACACAACCATTGGTTTGACACCAATGAAGTGAAGAAAAATAGGGCTTAATAAATAGGCGGAGAAGAAAATAGTTGAATGGTGGAGTGGAGCTGAATAGCTTTTACCAGGGCCTTGGGTTCAATTTCTGTCACAGCAGAATTTTTCTGACGACTTACAACAACTCCACTCCTAAAGCCTCATAGAGACTTGGTTTAAAGCATCGTTCAATCACTGTAAGTGGTGAGTGTAGGCCTATTTGCAGCTGGATGTGAAAGAAATAAAATAAAATATTGACTATAATAAATAAAAAAATAGTGGAATGAAAACGAATGTTGTTATTTGTTATTATTTACACCAGGAGTGGAGTTAGGGAGCCGGGCCGGCACCAACCACCCCCCCCCCCCCACCTTTTTTTTTGGAAAGTAAAAAAAAACAAACAAAAACCCAAAAGAAAGAAAGATAAAGAAAAACATGATTGCCCAAAACGCTTCAGAGGTTATTTTCGGGCGTCTAATAAAACAAACCCGGACCCCACAGGGTGGTGTTATCTCGATCGGCTCCCACTTCCCCATCCCCTCTTTTCGGACATCTCTGGATCCGCCCGCTGTATTTGTATTATGTACTTACCTGTTTTCTAACTAGGACATCAATTATTTTCCCCTGAGATTCTCGTCCATCTTGAGCCACGTGAACTTGGCATTTCAATGACGTCACTGTTTTCTTATCATCGTACTCTAGTCGATATACACAAGGAACTCGAACGTTCTCTACTAAACATTTTCTGGCAATCGACTGAAACGGTAACGCAAAAATTTATGGAAACATGACTTGATTAATTTTACGGTATATGTTATTCGTACATAGACTACATCCGGAGATTAACTCACAACTACATAACTTCTTCAACTTGTTATAAAAACCCAAACATTTTAGTAATCTACTTTGGTGAACCATCTCACTAAATATTTTCAAACAGGTACCGAAATATACATTCCGCCATTGAATGCATCATAAAGGGTCAGGATTTAAGTTCCAATGATTCGCTTTTGTTTTGGATTTTTTCATATTAAATTACCAGCACTTATATAAGAAAGGGGATTCGATTACCTAGCGACCCTTCCTCTACGCCATTTATTGATTACGGTATATGCCATACCTGTTTCATTTTTCCTCCATAGACAGTCCAATCTCCATCGGCTTCGAGGAGAACATTTAAGTCACTGGCATGTGCAAAGAGGAAGGGAGTTGTAGGTGAGCACATCGAACCTTTCAAGAGGCGTTCATCTTCCAAGACGAGCTTGAAATGATAATAATTATATTTCATTATTACAAACATTCTGTTGACTAATCAGAATATTCAGTCATCTCATCAAGTGAACCTCGAGACCAGTTATAAATAATAATATTATTATAGGAATGTATAAATGTAATAATAATAATATAGTTTGCTCTATCTGAATCTGAAGTTTGAACTACTGGTTTGTTAGTGATGAAAAGAAAACGAAATATCTGACAGGTGTTGCGTTAAAAAAATCGTAACAATAAAATTCCTTAAATAAAAAATAGCTACCAAATGAGAGAATAAGAAACTAATTCCTCACCAAACGTACAAAAAACTCACCATACGCATACAATACTGCTTTATACTACTATGCATTCAATGGTAATCGACTCACTGTAAGGAGTTTTTATAGTAAAGCATCAGTAAATCAGGCAAAACTTATTTGCTTCGAATCATTATAAGCGCCAACTTATGATCTTTTATAACGAGTTATTAATTGTTTAAAGGCTCTATTTTTGTCGGTTTTCCCTATTTAACAACAGACGGTTTATCTTCAATTTTAATATGTAATAAGTGTATAAATAATACGAAGGTACACACATGTCTGGCATCTGGAGTCTGGTTGGCACAGTACAGACGAACTTGCAAATCGTAATCATCTTCATTTATTTCAGATGAAAAAAGCATCAAATCGAGCCATTTTTCTTGAACTATAGGTAGAGTTTCTTCATTCTGTTCCCATTGCAGAACACTTGTGTGTCCAGTGAAATGAGGTAACAACAACGTAACCGTGTTGCCTTTTATAAGTGTCATTGAATCGTTGTCGTCAGTAATATTGTGGAAACTTGGAGGCTGATCGGGTTCAGTTTCTGTCCGCAACGTAATCAGCTTCATATTATTATTTTTAATATTCGCACAATGTTGATAGGATAGAACGACTCTTTCGTTAAACTTCATTCCAGATGGACCACAGAAAACTACAGGACTTGTTGCCATCATGTTTGAGTTGATCAATAAACTGTCGTTTCTATCGTTATGCAAATATATGTAAATTAACTGAGGAGTTGTCTGTTGGATAGCACCAGGTGGTATCAACAGCGAAACTCCAGCTTCTTTAAAATGTAACTCGCCACCATGTTTGTCAAAAATACCAGCACGAAAATACGGAAGAGAAAAAGCATGTTGATCATAATCATGCGAGTCTAACATAGTTTGTTTCCATAATTCTGCCTTCTTGACGCAGGATTGTGCTTGCTCAGCACCCCCAGCACTAGCAGCACCACCTGGTTTCTCTTTGCTAGCATCATCAATAAATTCACACACTGTATCAAGAGACACATGCCCTGTATTCAGACCAGTCTCTCTCTGGTCATTGGATCGAAAGCTCTTGATTTCAGTCTTGCCCAATTCAATTGAATCTGGTGAAACGATTGACGATCGACTTAAAAAGTAAAACCTTCCGAGAACGGAAACTCCGTTAGTGCGTTTTCGAACACGATATGCAATTGCTGCAAAATAACAAAATATGAAGTTACTTGGCATCAGATTTGTACTAAGTGCTATAAAAATGGTGAAACCTTATCTGAGAAAAGATTGATAGCTTTCGTGGTTATGCTTACAATGGTGCGATTTTTTTTAAATATATCGAAAGCAACTGCTGCAAAAACTTAAAAAAGAATTAATATTTAATGGCGGTGGCGCAATACCACACGCCTTGTATCACTTTCGAGGTGATCGTATGTCAGTGAATAAATATATTGCTATGAAAATTGTCTTCAATAGCTTAGAATTATTTGGTTTCAGAATACCTGGACTACAGCATAAAACCTCTACAAATAATTAATTTATTTTCTATTTATAATACAGAGCGGTGAATAGACCTACTACAAACTATTACGTACCTAAAGACGGGGGAACAGCAATAAGAATACAAGTAAACACTACACACGGTATGATGACAGATCTTGCCAGCCCTTCTATACGATGTGGTATATCTGTGACTGGCGTCGATATGTCCGTCTGATTATAGTCCTCCTCGCTACTAGCTAAATCCATGTTGATAAGCCCAGGCACCTCACCGACACCAAAATTACTCCTGGTATACGGTTAAATGCATAAATTTAAACACCAAATTTAAACAAAGCTCATAGACTTCCTCTGTCCAAATTTTCAACCCATAATTCACGACTTCCTTTATGAGTCAATCTACGTCCTACAGTAACTCGACCCTAATGCCCTACTGCATTAACATACGGGTTAGATCGTGTGTGCATATTAATTTTGCTTGTTGCCTTTTGTTTAATGTATTTTACAGTGCCAAAATAACAATATTGGCATTTCATCTTAGGATAAAAAGAACAAATTTGTAATTTTTACTATAAAGCCCCATTTACACTAGTCACGATTACGAAACGATGACGACACAATACACTAGATGCGCGCAGTGTTGAAGAATACAAAATACGCGATGTCGTTATCGTGTTTAGTGTAAATGGGGCTTTATTCGTATTTATATCAATAATAATACGACTATTATTAACGCGCTTGAATGAAGGTCATGTGATATTAAAAACTATGGCACCGCAGCTAGTATTCTTGCAAGGGAATTCCCCGTTTAGCGTCAGATCCAGGTAAGATATAGGCCCTATTTAGATAGGCCTATATATTCGATTTTTGTACAAACATAATTAATTTTGCAAATATTGCAATATTGTAGAGGTTCTTCCAACACTTGGATCCATAAAGGTTTTAATTATATTGAAATACATCTACATAGGTTATTTTGTATAAAACCTCCAACAAAATGTATTTAAATTTATTAAATTATATATATTTACATAAATATATATAGAGTATATAAATATATATATAGTTTCCTGCAATAAATAATTTATATTACTACATTATTATTCCATGAATATTGTGAGCAATAGACATGATAAAAAAAAATGAAGCCAACTCTAATAATTGCACTGGTATCAAAATAATTTATTATTTACAATATTAACAAGGTAAAAACAAGTCTTTACAATGTATAGAACTCTCCTGGAAGTAGCAATTCGTTTACCGCGATCAAGTCTAGCTGAACTTAATCATAAATATTCATCCAGTCGTTTTATATCTTTTTCTTTATGTATATTGCAATCTGCCACATTTACAATAGTTATAACCTCTCAAAGCATCGTTTGAGAGGGACATAATCATAGATTAAGACCATAAAAATGTTATGTAAATGTTGTACAGTATTATTATATTTTTATATACATTTATACTCTGTATTTATGTTTTATGGTTAAATAGTTTACCCAGAAAATATGTCTACCTTGTCAAATAATTAACATTAAAGCTATTCCCATGCACCAGGCTAAAGCATGATGCACACCAATATTTACCAAGTTAAATAACTACAATATAAGGCCCATAAAAAAATTGAGATGTCACCCTAGGCCTAAACCCATTGAATAAGTTGTGGGAGGCTACCTTTTTTAACCTAAGCCAACTTGATGGTTAAGAGGCAGGCAAAATCAGCTTCAACTGCATTCCACTTAACAGCATTAGCACTACTGTAGGTACTGCTATTGTCATTTTCACATTTTTACATATAAAATAAAAAGAAAATAAAATGTATTTTTTGGGTTAACACAACGTGATACAAAGAAGGGTTAAATAATCTAATAATTTTTCTATGGTCCTACTCCTTATTAATTAATTAATGTATCTGAGCCAGGGCAGCATACAGTATCTATAGGTACTATGGATTAAATAGTTCTGATTGATGGAAATAAGTTTGTCTACAAATTTATTGTAACTATTTATTGTAATGGTAGATGAAAGTAAGTGAAGCTATAAAGGTAGACATCATTGTACAAGTTAATTGAACCTAACACTTGATAGCTTGAGAACTTCTCTAGTGCCGAATGTCTAAAAAAAAGGTACATAGAAACAGATAAACATAAAAACTGCGAATTTAGAGATACCGTAATGCAAACGCAATTGTACAAAAAGAAACATGTCAAAGGTTAAAAGAGCAGCATCAGTCGTGTGTAAGATGAAATTTCCTGCAGTTATATTTTCAACATAACAAATTGCAATATTAAAAGTACATCAGCCAATGAATTTTAAGCCCAGGAGGGATCTATACAATTCACAAAATGATGCCCAAAATTACTAGGACCAGTGAACAGCACCAGGTTTCAAGCTTCGGCCACACTACCACGTTTTATGTAACAAATATTTGTGATTTGCCCGTATATGGGCATATAGTTCTATGACACTCATGTTACGACGAAATGTAGACGTACAACGAATCCAACATCGCTCTGTGTGAACACTAGACGGCGTGACGGTGTCTACTGATTGTTGGTGACGGTCGGAAGGGACCGTCATTTCAACCGACAACTTTCGGGCACAGTGAGTGTCTGGACTCACAGGTATTTGTTGCATAATAACCGATAGTGCAGACAAAAGAGCTTAACATATTAATTTTCTCTATCAAACTATGTTATTAAGCCGTTTCATACATATATATATATATATATTAAAATTTAAGCAACATTGCAGTCAATAGTTGTTCACTTAAATCTTTCAGGTAGTAAAAAACACAAAGTTGCATACACTGTCTTTATAGTAAATACCATTAATAAATAATATCAAATTTCAGTTAATTTCTTATACAAAAAACGAATTTTAGCACACATCCATTTAAAAATTGTAATATAGCATAAAGTGTGCAACATCAAAGAAATACTGCCTGTGCTCATGCTGTCAGTTTAAATCCAGGCTCCAGAGAAAAAAACATTTTTGATATGTTGTAAAAACTGATTTTCTTCAAGCACCCTTTTTGTATCTTAAAAAAAACTCATTTGTACAACATATCTAAGAATGTTTTCCTCCCGGGCCTAGCCATAAAAAAAATATCATAATTTTTTTGTGAAAAGATGAAACCTAAAGTACAAGTTTACTTCCACCCCACCCCCACCTCACAAAAAAAAAAAAAAACTCACAAAAAAAAAAAAAAAAACCCAGAAAAATGTTTTGTCAAATGGGGTGGTTTTATACCAGAGGAAATACATTGATTATGGTTTTGTAAAGTTTCTTAACCCAAGACAGACAGTATATCTTCAATGATACTAGGTAGTGCAAACAAGGTGATCTATGATACCTTCTAAAGGTGGTTTTAAATCTATTGCTTACGGTACTTTTAAATTGGTTAATATCAAAAACACTACTTAAACAGGTGATAATTATTTTCTACTGGTGGTGGTGGCATATCCATTAAACTATCTAAAATTCAAAATAATACTAAACATCCTATATTTATATCATACCTTTCCCTCAATATTATAAAGTTTAACAGAATGAGAAGAGAATGATGGCTTGTCAGCTCACTAAGCTCTGCTTACTTGTCCCACTATGCATGCTTCTTTGAGCCACTGTCTTTCTAGGATGCTAGAAGTTATGTTTAATATAATTTTTCTTCTATGAAATAATTAAAAGTAAACATTGGACATCCTAGAACAGTTGAAACATCAGGCTCAAACAATAATTAGACATGCACGGCATGAAAGTAGGCAGGGCTCAGCATGAAAAATTCCCTATTACAAAAACAAAAATAAGAGTAAATTATTAAACTGTTGAATTGTCATTGATTCAGCAGAAATTGTTTACAGGCAAGCATGTTGCAACATAGAGCTATAACTTTCATTATAGTCTCCAGTATACAATTGAAGACAGAAATATTCTTCTATGGAAGAAGTTTCAACTGCAGGCAAAAATAAACTGTTTGCATTGCCCAAGCCAAACCTAACCAAAATTTAAAAGTTCCGGGGTTTGCTTTTATACTAGTATAGTGTTTAAAAGGGTAACAAATTTAGTACATTAATCATGGATTTTAACCCTGAGATTACCAACGAACTATAGAATTCGGCCTATAGGCCCACAGTAAAGCACCAAAAAACTGCTGGCAGATCGGCCTTGATTTTCAAATATCACTGGGCTTGGGCAACATAACAATTATTTTGGCATTACTTGCAAAGTAATGCCAAAATGCAAAGTTCTGACTGAGTTCCACATTCCAAAATTTAATACTTTGATGTTTGACATAAAAAATATATTTTAATAGGTGAGCCAATCTTTAGGGCTTGATAATAATACACAATTTTCTCCATAGACTAGTTAATACATATACTGTTCCTTCCCATATATTTAATTTCTGTAAATATATTTTGAACTACAAAACGAAATATTTAAAAAAAATTATAATAGAAAATATGAAGAAAAAATATAAAATTCTATATTTGGCCTAATTTTATTAAAATGTAATATAATAATATATAGCCCAAACTAAAATATTTATATATTAAATACTCCGGAGTATTCATGGAGAAAATCTTACAAGAACTAAATTCTGAAGAAATGAGGCAAGTGCATGTTAATATTCTGTAGATAATCATTTACTATAATTGGTATTTTATCTGAATTCTGTACTGAATGACCATTTCCAGCTGACCTGTTGATACTGTAAACTATCAGATGGCAAGTTATCTGGCTGCAGTAATGACAATGCTGATAAATTAGAAGACACTGACTAACCTGAAGTTAAAAGAAAGAGTAGGTTACCAGATATGTTAATACTTCAATGATATGTTTTGTAACAGCTTTGGAAAGCAACTGAATGTTTTTTCAAATGGTCTCTAATTGTCTAAAAGTTTATTGAAATTGGCAGGAAATCTGTATCATTAAAAATCTCAATATATTCATCAGAACACATTTTTTAAGGTTTATTAACATTACAGTAGAATAAAAAATATGAAGTCATGACAACACACTGCCCAGGGTAATCTTCATGTTTTATTTAGTTCATTTGTTGCATATGAAATATTTACAGAGAAAATGTTGCTGGAATTTGAGGTAAGACTAGAATTACAACAGGACTAAATGAATGTATGACCATTTTACCATAAAAAATAGTCTTAAGATTTTTTTCACCCCATTTCAAAACCAATTGGCATAGCATGGTCAATTTACCAATGATTTTAAATAAGTGAATTTACGCTCAAATGTATAAATACCGCCATATTGTAAAGAGCATCACAAAGACTACTATGTATAAACACCACCACTTCTCCGTTCAATTCTGGTATTACAGTACGATAAAATGTAAGTTATTCACTAAATAAGGCATCTTTCACCACTTTTTCTACATGTACTGAACAACAGATGGGATAAACATCGACGTCAAAATTTAAACAAAAAGTAGACACAAATCCAGTATTAAATTAAACTTACCAATTCTAAAGCTAAACTGCGCATGTATTTGGATAATTTAATTTTCACACAAAATATTAGATAACACTACTCTTCATCAAATCAGCTTTTGAATATAGTAGTAACTTTACTGAGATGCCTCATCAATGTGTTCTCTGGAACTACATAATTTGTATCTCCTAGCTCTGTAAGATGAAAAAAAGAACAATTAAAAATGTAGGTTTTGATTTGCAAAGTACCTATGCAATTAGTTTTCTTGAAAAAACAAGTGTGTTAAAACTATGGAGTGATTAAAAATGAACAAAGCAAAACAAACATTCACCTTGCATTTACAGCTTTGGACGGTTTGCCATTAGGTGGTTTTGGCCGCATGGTAGATTGAGTTCCACTGGTTCCTGATGATTGACTATTATCTCGTGAACTACCTCTGTCATCTCTAACTCCATCACTAGAAGCTGAGGACATGCTCTGTTTTCCTCTACTAGAATGACGCAACTGCTCTACTGTCACCCCAGCAGCGACGTCTTTTTCAACTGGTGAATGCCTTTTTCCATTTCTACGTGGAGAATGTCTTGATTTTTCACGAGGTATTGGAGACAACTGTGTTCTCTCTCGGGGTGTAGAAAGAAAGCTGTGATCATCAGGAATAGAAAATGATGTGCTGGTTACAGCATCAGGTTGATCTCTGGCAGACTGTGGAGGGCTCTTCATTTGAGGTGGATGATGTTCTAATTGGTTTGAATCTTTGGTTGTTTTAATACCAGAACCTTTAGTAGTGCTGTTTTTCAAAGAATTTGGACTTTTTTTAGAGGCTCCATTTGATACCTCAGATTCTGGTGAGTCTTTTTTTGTAAGTTTGGAATTTGAGCCTGTAGGACTTAACCTGCCCTTGGAAGTCTTTTTACCAGGTTCTTTGGACTTGCCATCATTTCTTGGTGAAGTTCTGCCTGGACTTTTCTTTCTACTTGCAGATTTCAATTTGGAAGAGTTCTCAGATTTGGTACTCTTAGACTTTTTGGAAGACCCATCACTCCCAACACTTGTGGGACTTCTTGAAGATTCTTTTTTAGGAGAGATTTTCCCACTACATTTTGATGATTTCAAAAAATCCTTATTGTGAGTTTCAGAGTTTTTAGTATGAAGATGTTGATGAATAGGTTTTTCAAACTGTTTTAAATCTGATACATTTTCCCTTGATTTAAAACTATCCACATTTACTTTTGGTGGAACAATACCACTCCCAACAAATAATTGATCATCTTCACTTGACAAAATTTTAAAATCATCACCAATATAGTCTTTTGACCTGATTTTCTCCCTCCTTTTACGTTGTCGTGGAGTCAGATGCTCCCAAGCAAGACGTGGAGATTGTGGACAAACCATGTCCTCTTTTTGACAATCAATACCAGTGTCACTTTCACTGTCCCACTGATTGTCATATGGCAACAAAAGGCACTCCATAGATCGTGTAGTACGAAGATTCTCCTGTTGCTTTTTTCTTTCATTTTTCAATTTAACTTTTGTATCAGATTCTTGAGGTTGTGTCATCTGACTGTCATTATTTTGTACAGACAGAGCTGGGCTAGGTAATTCTCTCTTCTTCCTTGGACTTAGTAATGTCCCATCTGATACAGATGAATCCAAGTAAGAAGATTTTTTACTAGAAATATTTTCCATAGACTTCGGCTTTATCATTTTGTGAACATTTTCAGAACTACCATTGATAGGAATGCGACTAAACAATCCTAAAGTCTTGGAATTTACCGGTGAATCAATGGTCTTTCTGCGTCTCCTTCTAACTTTACTGGAAGATGTTCCTTTCCTATTGGCATTACTCATATCTGAACCACCAGCAACTACTGTATCTTTTTGTTGAGTATCCTTTGTTAGATCAAGATTTCTATTACTACTACGAGGTGAAATAAATTCATGAGAACTTTGCAACTTCCTTGGAGAATCCAATGACTTATCAGATTTATCAACAGACCCTTGTTTAGTTTGGTTCTCTTTTTGCTGTAGAAGTCTCTTTCTTCTCCGCATTCTAGCAGATTCCATTGCTTCAGTATCTGATGACCTACTTTTGTCTCTTATCCTTGGGGACTTGCTTGTTGACTTGTCACTTAGTCCATCATCTAACTTTTCAAATTCCAGGGGAGGAAGATGATGGTGGGGTAGTTTTTGCATCACATTATCATTGTCCATTGGAGACATGTCTGTTTCTGTATTCTTTATACTAACATTCAGAGAAGTTGGTTTTTTAGTTAGAATCTTTTTTTCTCCAATATCTGGAGTCAAACCTTGTTTCAAGTCCTCAAAGAATTTTTTAAGGGTTGTATCAACAGGAATATTCCCTTTACTTCTCAGAAAATCTTTCTGTTTCTCTTTAATTGTAGAATCGATATGTTCTTCCATAGTTTTGGGTTTGGTAAGTTCAATATTTTGAATGTGATGAACTTGATCTGCATCATTATTTGAAGATAGCTGATTGGTTTCTGTAAATTTTACTGTACTTTCTGCTTCTTCCTTAACAACTGTTTTGTTTAGTTTTGTTTCAATCAACTGTGCACGCTCCGTTATTGATTCTCTAGTTTCCGAATCACATGTTACTACATCATCTAGTAAAGTTCCAGTAATTGGTTTTAATTCAGGTTTATGTATTAATGTATATTTTGTTGTATTTTCATTCTTGTCAGCATTTTTATCACCTAGACCTGTATTGTTATCATCTTTGCTGATACCAATCTCTTTTTCCTTTGGTTCTTTTTCAGAAAATAATGAATCTTTCAATATTGTGTTAGCAGTGATTGTATCATCAAATGTTTTAATTTGTTGTTGCTCTTCTGGTAAGTTATCTTCTTTCAATTCCTTTTGCATAGTATATCTGTGTAATGGATTCATACTGGTGCCATTGTGTCCTTGGCTGAGATCCACACCATGAGTGTGATGATCATTGCCAAACTCACTAGCAATCTTTGAGTTCTTTTTTTTAAGAATTTCTTTCTTTTCTTTATCCTCAATACAGGTTTTTTCCTCACCAGGTGTAAGGCCTGAAGTATTTCCAATTAGTAATTTTTCATTAGATGGTGGGATATCATTTTTCTGGGGTTTGGTGGACTCTTTGGTCAATGGTGATGTTGTGAGTGAATGCACATCACTTGGTGTCACCTGCTGATCATCATAAGGCAATGGCTGGACAGCAAGGCTACCTGTGTCCTGATCAAGTGATGCCACATTTTGAATAATTTTTAACATTGGCTTCTTTATTAAACCTTTTCGTTTGAGTTCATCATTCATGTGTTGGTCTGTTTCTTGTACTTGACTGCTAAATTTTGATGTCAGTTGCTTCCTCACATCTACTTCTCCTGAGGTAGCTTTCTCATTTCGTAAAGAACTTGCCACATCTAAGAAAGCACTAGGTTCCTGCCAATTTGTTGCACATTCTGAACACTCTGGATTTTTCTCATCATCTTGTGAAATAGTCTGTAACACTGCGTATGTTGAAGGCTCGATTAGCTGACATTTTTTGGCTTTTGCATCGGCATTAGCACTATTTGGCTCACTGTCAGGTTTAGCTGAGGTAGACGGTGAATTAACAACAACTTCAAGTTTTTGACCTGCACATAGAACAGCAGGGTGAATTTCCTTTATTACATTTTCTAACTTTGTAGCACTTTCATTGAAGTCATCGGTTAATGTCACTGGAGTAACATCTTGCACAATTTCATTCTCTAAGATTCCACTACCTGTGCTCCCCTTAGTAGGAGATTGCTTCATATTACCATCATTTTCTTGGCCACTTACATCAGACTTGTCTCTCTGGTCTTGAATGTCTCTTTCGCTTTGCCTATCACTTTGATCCCTTGCTATGCGGTTTTTGAGGAGAACTTTTGGAACCTCTGGTAGTTTTCGTAGCCCAGATTTTTTTTTTCTGTGGGTACTAGGTGATGATACAATCTTTGCTACATGATTCTCTTGCTTTTCAACTGAAGAATCACTTTCCTGAGCTTGATCTTTCTTGTGAGGTACTTGTGGTAAGAGACGCGATTTACCAGGAGTTCCACTACGACGGCTTGTTTTAGACCCAATGGAGCCACCATCACTACCTGTTCCATCTGATCTAACACTAGTTTTACTTTCCTCACTTGGTGTTCTTCTTGATCTTTGGTCTGGATCCTGTACTTTCACTTTCTCATTTTCATCAACATCAATATTTCTGGTTGTTAAAATTGGTTGAATTCCTGATCTCAAGGAAGGACTACTTTTACTAACTTTACATACTGTCTCTTTCGTATCTAGCTCATCTGATATTAAACTTTTTGTTGTCCTGGTAATTTCTGGAGGTAATTTTAAAGATGTGTCTATATTGTTGTCAACTTCACCTTCCACTAAACCACTAAATATCATTTCCATTAAATGTCTATCCTCAGATTTCTGCCGTTTAAGAAACCTTGTCCTAAATTCATCATGTCTGTCTTCAACATGGTTCTTAAATTCATCCTCCCGAATTCCATTGCTACCTGTATAAATTGCACCTCTAACCCAGTTCACAGCGTCTAAATCTGAACAAGGTGAGACTTCATCTAGTTTTCCATCAGAGGCTGAAAGAAACAACTGTTCCTCAGGCTTTGAAGGAACAGATCGTTCACTTTCACTTATTTGTGAAATATTCCTATCTGTAGAATGATTCTTTTGAGTTCTTTTTCCTCTACCAAGTGAAGATTCTGTGTCTTCTGCACTTGATTTCAAAAGTTCTTCAGCAGACTTTTTCATAAGTCTTTGAAATGTTTTTAATGAATCATTCACATCTCTTTTAGTCCTTTTACTTTCCTCCTTTATAGATCCATCTTTGTCTAAACCTGTGAATATTTCTTCAACAAGTGCTCTGTCTGAAGATTTTGAATATTTCATCATTGCAGATCTTTCAACAAGAAGCTCTTTTGATGTCTTTCGGTCTGCTCCATTACAAATTTCCAAATTGTCAGGCTTTTTACATTCAAGTGTTAATGCATCATTATGGACTGGTTTTTTTATGTTTAAATCTTCTACATCATCTTCAAATTCTTCTCCTAACAGTATTTTTTCCATCAGTAATCGATCAGAAGTCATTTTAGGAGATAATAATGCAACTGGTATTTTTCCACTCATGGGTTCATTGATATCAGAATTTACTGTATTTGGTTGATATTTAACGATATCAATATTGTCATTTTTTGGCAAGATTTCATTAGTTCCAGACAGAACCAAGGGGGCAATGACTGGTTGCTCATTTTTGTCTGCACAAATATTTTTTTCAGATGATTCTATATGCAAATCTACCTCACTAACTGACTTTACATTAGGACGGCTTTTTTCAAAGTCAATAATTTTAGCATTAACTTCCTTGTTTAGTTCCATCCTAGATTTTTTATCAACAATGTCTTCAACAATATCTGAAGTGCCTTCCGCTATCTCTATTTCAATGTCATAATGATCAGTTATATGTACTGATTGAGCAGTAACAGGTATGGGCATGGACGCAGTTGGTGGAGGTTGATAATGGGCTGGAGAAAGCAAATCTCCAATAGGAGGTAGGTCACAAGTTAAGTGAGGTATGTCTTCTGGAGGTTGAAGCACATCTTCGGTGGATTTATTGCCTATTACTTTGTCTTTCTCCTCAACTTCCTGATTATCTTCATTCAGAACATCTTGCAACAACTGGTCTTGTGTATTCACAATTTTGTCAGAGACAAGTTCATGTTTTTCAGATTCTGAGGTTTCTTTGATTTTATCTGATTGCTTCAATTCATTTACCTCTTTTAAATCTGCACTTTGTTCAACAGGTTTTGCTTCTATATCAACCAAATCAATTTCATTAATAGCTTTAACAGAACTATTTACTTGAGTTTCTTTTACAGCTGATAATAATCCCATTTCAATGAAATCATTTCCATGTAGTCCTTTATCTACTTCATAATCCATAGGAACTAATTCTGCCTCATTTTCAAATAGGTTATCATTCGGTAAATTTGGTAAAAGGTCTGGTTGCGAGGCAGAGAGTTGGAAACCAGCTTGTTGCATAGGTTCAATAGCACCAGCTTTGGTCAAATATTCAAGATCAGGTAAATCATGTGGAAGATTGTCTGTTTTAATGTGGCCACCACCAGGAAGAGCTTGCTCTTTCTCTTGTATTTCCACTTTATCAGACTCTTTGTCTCTTGGAAGTGATCTACATTCATCATGGAAAAGCTCTGCATCAAGGTGCTGAAGCTTCTGTACCAACAGTGGAAGTTGACCATCTTTCTGCAGAATGTTATCCTCAATAGAAGGTTCTTTTTCAGTCAAGCCTTGCTCTTTAAAAGTGCTCATATCGCCCTCAATAATGGCATGGCTATCATGAGTCCGGTAACGTTTTTGCTTGTGTCTGCGCTTCAATAGCTCCCGACGTTTACTAACTGGTCGCTTCTTATACTTAGAAGGAACTTCCAGCATGTTACCACATGCTTCAATAGCATGCAGTAAATTCTGACCTCCTTGAATCTCCACTGGGCCATTTATTTCATCCCCTTCCTGTTCATGAGAATCTCTTTCTTGGTCAGATGGTACATCATACTCATCTTCATCTTCCTCATCATCCTTCTCCTCATCTTGTTTTTCTCTGCTCAAATCCAAAACAACTTTATCAATGTCAACATCAGCATCTTGAATCCTATCCTCAATTTTATTGTCATGTTCACTTAGATTTCCGTCGATTTCATTGGTATTGACAGCAATTTCGCTGAAAAAGAAAATATATTTTTTCATTTCATCATCATTAAGCAACATCACCCAAGCAGTCAAAATGCATCCTACAGTACACATAAACTATAATATACACAGCTTTTTCAAATAACCTTTCTAACTCAATTTTACAACATTGTTTGTATGTTTTTTTGTGCCCTGAAATCGACCGCTTGGTAGGTAATTACTTAGTAACTAGCAATGTCACATGGTACCATGATGTAACCTAGTTTGATACTTGGTGTAACTGTGGGCACCACTACACAACAAGTATTCTCATGGATACACTGGCACAAAGGCAACAGAACAAGCAATTGGTGAGCAGTTCAGAGAAGAATGACATAAATCTACTTTGTATTCCTTCACAAAGATTGTCCACAAATTTTCATCATGATTTGCTTACTCTAGTGGTCCTGTCCACTATGTGGCCTAGGACCTGGGCATTTCTCCCACTAGTTATCCCCCTATATTTTACTGAATATAGCATCCATAGATATTTATCATCTGATACTTCTACAGTGTTTAATTCTCATGAGAAAACAAAATTGCTCTGTTTAATAGGTGAATGAGAGACAACTCATGAACCAGTAATGTTCATGATTGATAGCATTTGAGTCATAGTCACACTGTAGATCACAATACTCCAATGATTAATGTTACCAGCATTATCAGCTAGGTTAGTCAAATGACATGCTCAGACACATTGTAATAACTAAATAACAGTCAAGTTCATTATCATACCCAGGCTGTTTCTGATCCTTTGGTGGAGACGTCGTTTCAGCTGTCGTTGTGGTGAGTGATCCATCAGCATAGACCTTCTCCCAGTCATATGGATCTCCTTGCTTTACAGATTTTCGATTCATACAGTGTAGAAATAGAGAATTAAGATGCTGTGGTACAAATAAAAATAGTAGAAACAAATCATTTTCAAAATAATCATTAAAAAATCATACTCGTTAGTTGCCAGAATGACTTGTGAATCTCAGTCCATATCTTGTAGTTGCACCCAAAATCAAGTACACTATCACTTACAAGATAAAAATAGACTATTAATTTTATTATAAACTAACACATCTATCTAGCTTTGACAAATACATATATGGGTATGTTATAACATCTTCATGCCCATATTTGGACTAATCACAGACATCTGTCATTGTTTATAAAAATCTTGATGACAGTTTTAATTGTGTGATTATAGGTGGTAAACTATTTCTTACTATCGTACCTCATAATCTGGTTTATCTGCATACCGTAGCTGAAATATATGGTCAAAGAAGGTTCGGAACTCGGAGGGTAAGTGCTTCAACATGAGTTTGTGATCATACTTTTCCTTCATCAATCCAACTTGCTCCTGCAATTGAAGCATATCGTGTGAAAAATAAGTAAAGAACTCTAGCGTGTTCTTGCACAAAGCTGTTGTGTCATTGTTACGAAAATTACCTTGTCTTTAATCTTTCTCCACGGTAGCTGACCAACAACAAATTCAACCAACATGTAGAAGAGAGACCAGAGATCATCATGTCTTCCCATTTCCTGTGAAGTAAAAAAGAAAGATCTTTAAGCAACAAAAATCAAAATCTATTCACATATTTCTCAATGAACATTACATCTGACAATGCAACTGACAGCATAAAATATTAAAGCTGATGCAATAGCTTTAACTAAATGTGACTTTGCAGTTAATTCAGTAACAAATAAGGAATGGAGTTTACCTTGTTCTTGTGAGCATTGACGGATGCATAGCGCACAGTTCCACGGAATCCAGCTACTGGTCTTGGCTGAAAAAACAGTGTAATTTAACAGATTGTATGAAATGAAATGCAAGAAAAGCACTAATTAATGTTTAAGTGTTTACCATAACATGAAAAAACAAAACTTTGGAAATTAAACTCAAGGGTAGGCTTGCTACAGTAAGCTAAAGGTCATTTAAACAGATGTTTCTACCCACTGTCAGCAGTATATGAAGCTACATGATGTTATAACCAGAGGTAGATCTCAGGATGATTATACTTTCCACAAACAGATAACACAAATTATAAATGACTTTTAATATGAGATTAGAGCCACTTTAATACTACACGGAAAAAGCAAAACAAAAATTTATGAAGATAATTTATACAGAATTTGATAGAAGTAAAAATTTTAAAAACCGTACCGATCGAACTTGTCCTTGGGAGTTAGTGTACTGGCGGGCCAGACCAAAGTCAAGCATGTAAACCTTACGACTTGTGCCTTGCCGTTTTCCTATAGCAAAATTAGACTGATGGGAAAATAACAACATTATAAATCATGAAAGAACAATAATTACACACTACATTTCAAAAATGAATTCATTTATTAGTTATTTACTAGTAGAAAATTACTCAAATCAATATTAACCTGTCCACTTTTAAAATAGACACACCAAAAAAATTTGTTTTCAGTTGTTAAATTCATAAATTTCAACAGAGCAGATGGTTGTTGTAAAGGGTCACAAAGTTGACATAAATCAATTGTGAATAGCAATGACCAATGCAGAGATTGCTCAAAAAATTCCCACCAATCAGTTCCCCTCATCCCTGATCTTGTTTTCCTTGTGTTAATTACAAGGAAATGTTAATCAATATGGAAAGAAATGCCTATAAGAACATCTGTCCTATGGCTTCTGCTAGGTTGTTATTTTAAGTTCATTCTTCACCTGCCTAATAAGTGCTCATTATACGGGTGCCATATATACACAGTACAATATGAAAGACAGTATTTTCATTTATAATGCTCGCCTTCTTTTTTACAAAGAGAAATGGCAATCACAAAAACAATGATGCCTCTATGATGACTGTCACCGAATATACAGTAAAGAACAATAGTCATCCCACATTGAGGTTTTGTAATTCAGTCTTCTATTCCTACTTTGGCCACCTGCTTGATTCCTTTGGATAACACTTACTTTGGTTATTTATCTCAATCAGTGAGTATCAGTGGCAGCCAGGTAGATTTGAAAGCCAATGCACCGTAATGGAATACTCTCAAAAGAAGCTCGGCAAAAGCTCCATTATCATGCATTTGTTCCAATAATGTGAAACACTACTTGGCAATATAGCTATTGAACAAGCATTAGTCCTCCCCCTCCACCCTTCCCGTTCCCCCAAAAAATTGTTGCGCTACCCAAACACAGTGACGATTTGGAATTAAGGTAGCTGAGTCAAAGCGCCCTCCCTTTTTTCAGACTATAGGCTAGGCCTTCGAAAGCCTTGTCCACACTATAAAATTCTATGTGACAACTGATATGCCCATATTTGGATGTAATATGATATCATCATGCTCATATATGGGCACATCACACAAACTTGCCACATTTATGGCTAAACAATCCCTTCTCCCCCCCCCCATGCTTCACATTAACATATACAAAGTTTTTTTAATGTTTATATACAGTATAAGCCAGGAATGACTTTCAATCCTTGGGTCATAGTGTGAAATTCTGATACAGCTCATAAAAGCATTATAGAACATTGTTCTATATTTGCGAATGTGCTTTATATTGTATGTCATAAGTTCATGCAATTTTAACACATTGTTTTAGGTTAAGTGTGATTTATGGCCTTGCCGGGATCCTTGAAAAATAAAAAAAAATTAAAAAAAAAAAAAAAAAATCAACTAACAAATTAATAAAATAAATGAAAAAAAAAAATAAAAAAAATAAAAAAAATTTCAAAGATTTTTTTTTTTTTTTCAAAAATTTTTTTTTTCCAGTACCATAAAAGACATGCGCGCGAGGGTGATAAACTAATAATTTTTTTTATTGGGCCTTATCAATGGTGCATGATAAGAATGCAAACATCCTAACATTGTGACTACATTGATTGGCTATTAGGCAATGAATGGTCATCATTAGCTACTTCAAGACACACTCACTACAGTATATAAAATAACACGGGGGTTATATGAAACATAATAAAGTACATGGGGGAAAAAGAAGAGAACAAGGGTGTGTTTCAGTAAGCAAATTGTTGACCGCATGTACATTCATACTCCATAAAAAAACCTTTTCAACCTACATACCATATTATTTACCAATTATTTTATGTTCATGTACAAGGTACAAAAATTGATTTAAAGCAAAATTATTTTAATAATATTTAAATTTGAAAAAATACTATGGCTCCCTTGATATATAAACCATAAATCATTTAAATGAGCATACCTGTAGTAACCCTCTTTTCAATTCCCATATCAACCTCTTGAAAATAATGATTTTTAATGCTAAGAATTGATAATCTTCAATCTACAGTACAGTACTACTCAAATCTGTCATTTTAAAGCACAGAAATGTAAAGATTAGAACTATACAAATGTTCTACAAAATTTAATTACAATTACACTTTTAGAGCAACTTGTGTCAACATTGTCTGTTATGTATAGTACCTACCAATTTTATCAATGCCTACTGTACTAGCATTCAAATGTTTAATACCATCTCTTATTATAATCGTGGATTTGATATTTTAAATTCAGTAAGCTATATTCTCTTCAGTACAACAATTACATTACTATAGCTTTTTGACACATTTGAAAATGATTCTAGTGTTTTTTAACATTAGGCTTTGGGGTCATTCAGACATAAAACAGTATTCTATAGATTTTTTGTCTTAGTTTTTAATTAATTTATATTTATTTTATTTTATTTTAAATTTATATTTCATATTTTTTTACATTTTTCTGTTTCTTTTTTGTTTCACTAATACTTTAAAATTATTTAGTTAATCTTTCTCATTTCCGTTGCTTCTTGTATTGAGGGTCCCTAATGATCATCTCCGGCTGGATGTACTACCCTCACAAAGCACTGTTGAAATAAAGTAAAGTATGGAGCCATATTTCTACCGAATATTTCTACATGCTATTCCACAGAAAATTATAATCCAGCAAGTTAAGAGTGCAAAACTAAATAGAGAATTAAATAAAAGGCAAAACATAGAAAGAAGCCACGATTAATTTACAGTGAATAAATAAATCATGTTGAACATGACACTCATCGCTTAAGAGCGTGCTCACAACCAGGCTTAAGTGTTGAGTCGCAGCAATGCCGATCTTAAGATGGACATGAAATCAATACATTGGTCTACTACTGTATGTGTGAATGAGGAGCTGATGGCATATAAAATATCACACCTTTTACATATCTTAATACCAGCTTTTAATGGTCCATGAAAGGCGAGGGACATACTGTATACTAATGTAAGAAGCCAACACTGCCTGTGGGTTATTAATAGCATTGCGCAGAATGCATGCTTAACATGTTGTTTGTGTTGTTTTAATAGTGAGATGTACCCGGAGTTGGGACATCTCCAGATTGCTGATGATAGTGATGATGTCAGAGGTTACACATATCTGGAATAACCAAACACACTAGATGACAGAATGCCCGAGTTGTAATGGATCGTCTTTGGAAATGTAAAAAAAAATGAGAAAAGTAAATATCCTAAGGGTACAGTGCCTCAGTATAAAAACTGAGGTGATCAATAAACAGTTTCATAATAATTATGATACTTTGACATTTATTTATTTATTTAGCATCATTGCCTAGGAATCACAAAAGCAGGAAACCCACTGAAATAATGTATTATTATAAGTAATGTGATGTCACAAAAGATTTACGATAACATAATATAATTATTAAGTTTGTACGGTAAAAGTAAAGCATTTATAGGCTTTTGAAATGTAAACATTAACTCTCAAAATTGTAGCATGACTGAGTGATACCTTGCTAGTGAGTGACTAGTTGTACTGTATACTAATCCTGTGCAAATAAGTTCACTAATCATTCAATAATTGTTAATACATTATAATAATACTATGTACAGTATAGAAACTAGTAATATAGTAGCAGTTACTAAAAATAATCAACAAAAAAAGCATTAACACATGACACTTGAAGACTAGTAGAGTACTAACTGTTTAACCTACAAGAAGTTATAATAACAATAATAAAACCATTTCAGGTCATATTTGTTGACTTAAGGCTCTTCAGATTATCAGCTTACAGAATATTAATTCATGCACAAATACTCAACTATATCATATTTTTCACCATGAACATGAAAGTCGGTTTTACAATAGAAACTTCAATAACCTCCAACTCAACAATATATTAGGAATAGATAAATTTAAAATAACTTAGGTTATGACATTTGAGCGAGGATGCAGAATTGTTGTTTTCTATAAGAGAGTAATCAATCAGGGTGAATGGACTGTGAAAGAAACCATTATTACCTTGAAGTTTTTTAAGCACCGCAACCTCCATTTTGAGAACCTGCTTTGGTTGAGATGCGGACTCTAGTTTGATGGCTACGGTCTCTTCTAATAGATAATCTTGGGCTTCGTATATTTCGCCTAAAATGAAAGGAGAAACAATCTTAAATGAATTATGAATTTTGTAATTTTATTATCATCTCAAAAACACTTAAGAGAAACACTTGCCCTTTCATTTAAACTCATCCAAAAGAAGAGTCAACCATAACAAAAAAAAAGACAAGATACAAGATACAAGATAGCTTTATTGTCAAATTAAAATTTTAAATTAGTTTTTCTCATGGCAACAAAAGTACAAAAACAACAAAGAAAACATACAATATATAAAGGAACAATAAAATGTAAAAACGTTTAAAAGAAAACATTTTGGGGTAAGGTATTCTCAGGTGTTGTTACACGTACGTCAGAGATGTACAACTTGATGTGACCGCATTAACCTCAAATCCATGTGCATGATACATGACTAAAAACAACTTTTGTAGAATAGCCAATTTATTATTACTGATAGCAGTTAAATTTTATTTATCATGACAGCTTAACTAGGCAAATTCATATTTTTAGTTTGATGACCGTGGCTGATCCAAGAATTCAAAATTGAGGGGGCCCAGAAAGTAAATTTTACAGATGAAGGGCCCAGACCACCTTAGCCCCACCATGGCTGGGGCACTAACATTTTATGTCCTGTCCTGCACTAGATGGCAAGAAATGGCACTATCAGACCATGGAGGAATTAGTTTGATCAGACTAACAATATGAATGCAATTTACACTTCTTCACTTACAAAAAAATATAAATTTTGTAAGTTAAGTTTCCATAATTGGTCATACACGAATAAACATTTTTTTAAATACAAAAGCAAATTACATGAACTGTACTTGCAAATTTAACCAATAGTTTTTTATAAATGCAGTTGGGTTTTGTGCAATGAAAATGTGCCTTGTGATGTTTTCATATTGTCTTTTTAAGTATCAAATACAATTAAGGAAACTGTGAGCCATGCTATACAAAAATATTCACAATGTTGTTTGCCAGCAGATGCAAGAGTTCCTTAGTGGGCAATGACATTTCATTATCTAAATCAGTAGGTAATACTCAGTAGGAGTGACTCATTCTTTGCTAAGAAAATATTTAAAAGACCCTTTACTAATCTTTCCAATGAGTCACAACCAACAACAACTTATCATTCATCAAGAATGATCATGAATCTTCAGATACAAATTATTTGACATAAAAATTATAACAATAATTATAATAAAATATTTTAATTTACAAAAGTTAATATTAATAATGATTTGCTATCAATAATTTTAAATCATTATTACATAATTTAAAAAAGCTTAGACAACATAAATTGTATTAAATATTTAAGAATGGTTCTTTGTCTATGCTAGTAATGTATTATTACCTGATAGTAACAGTACATGTGGAAGAAGGCAATACAGTGGGCACAGTAGCCTATGCCTACTATAGGAGAAAATAATACCAGTACTGTACATTTTCTACTATATGCATTGAATGATTATATTTTCAAATAGGTCATTGAAATATTTAAATAATTACTGACTTACTAATTAATTTAAAATAAAGAAAAATCAACATAAAATTCAACCAAAAATTCAATAAAATCAAATAATTTTACACTAAATTTCAAATTATAACTTATACAAAAGGCCTATTCAATTATCATTAAATTATATTTTGAAATAACTTTATAATGCGACCTTAATTTTGATTAATTTATATATGTTTTTTAATTTGTTATTTCTCTGAGGGGCAGTAAATTTACAGGACAGTTCATTCTTTAAAGGTTGCTGAATAAAAAAAAACTAGAGTAAAAATCTGACAAAAGTATGTTTTTAATTATACAGCAGTTTCAATACGTAGCATACTTTCAACCTCTCTCTGCAAACAAGAATATTTGACGACCTCAGGCAAAATATGATGCACACAGTTGATAGGGGTTCATATCATTATATATTAGTATAGCTTCAGTTACATCATCTACAGAATGGTTAAAAGGGGCCACATTACTGGCAAAACCTCAGGGTTAATTTGTCAACACAATCCTGAAACCTTTGAGTTGTTTGAGGCAACAACACTGAGATGATGACTAACATACATTATGGATATGACTCAACTATTGGCCATGACAGGGGGTGGGGGTGTTAGCCCCCTCGTATCATAATATTAATAACCTGACATGAATGACACGGTGAATTCCAAAGGTTCGAGGAGCAGCTAGCAAGAACTATAATACATATCTCTGTGATGTGAGCAAGATCTAATTATAAGAAGCTGCTTTGGCACAAGCCAACACATTTTATGGTTCTTTGCACTGTGGGCACCTGACTAGATAGTTAGCACACTTAATTTACAGCATTAGTCCCCTGGGAGGAATTGGAATAATATCATTAAATGCCATATAAAGACAGGAACCAAATAGAGAATATGTCCTTTAATATGTTCACTCATTTTGAATCTTCTTGCTAATATTATGAGATTAGCAAAAAATTGGTTTATTGTAATGCTCATTCTTATTCTGTACGAACTTTATTTGAGAATACTAAAATATCATTGATGAATTGTGACTGTTGTTTACTACATTGCATTTTGTTTATTACTATATGCTCAAACAAAGTAGTAATTGGAAAATAATATAATATGGTGACATTTTATTTCAAATAAAACCTATCACAAATAAAAATTCAAATGCCTTTGAAAAATCATACCAGGCATAATTTGTTCTCCTTTTTATCCTTTTTTATATTTACATTGTTATAAATAAAGAAATGAATAAATAAATGAATACCAACAAATGTTGCTCACCTGACCTCACCTGATATTCTCAAGCAAGACTATTAAATGACTAAAGCTGTGTTCGCATTGGATTACAGTAGCACTTGGATTAAAATGCAGTAATATTTACTAGGATTTTGCAGTTAGTCAGTCTAAATGTCTAAATATGGCTATTTTTTGTGAAATTTCAGTGATGTGTGCGATACCAGCATGCCCTCACAGAGATTCAACCAAACTGTGCTATTTGCACTGGACATTTGCTTTGGAACAACAGTCTATATTCTTCTTGGCTTGGTGCACTATGAAGAACGACTATTATTAAGACATTTTAATAAAATAACATAGTTTAATCAAAATTAATGTTCATTAAAAATTAATAACAATTTTAATCTACATGTACTTTAATGAGCCAAGATAATTTCATTAATCTTATTTGAGACTCTATTAAGATTTCATTATCTAATTAAAGCTTTGATATACTACATAAACAAGCTGCATTCTACCAAACAGTAGACATGGTAACCCAATCATTCATAATAACAGTTCTCACGCCCATTGTTACTCGTTCTATCATTTCCTTTTCGCCACCATTCTGAAGAGCCCCCAAATTCCAACAACTACCAATTGTATGTTCAATTGTTAAGGGTCACCAAAAGATTTATACAAGCAATGGCTCAGAATAATGAAATGATGGAAATTTATGGTTGAGGTGGTCTTTTCTCCTAAGCAATGCAGTGCAGGTAAATCCCACAAGATGTCTTAGTATGACTACTATATTAACATTGTACTTTTTCTAGAGCTTTATGTTCATTTTTTACTTTGTCATTGTCATACTGTACAATAGATATTCTACCATTGAAATCAGTTGGTTTAAAGTTGAACTTGTTTATGTTTTTCATGCATGGTCTTGATGTTTCAATAAAAAAAAAAGTTTATCATGTTTACGAAATTATTCCAACTTTGCTTCCTTTATAGAAATACTGCTTGCTTCCTCTTGCTGTTTTGCGATCAATTTTTTATTTGTATTTTTCATTTTTCTTCCGTGTTTTGGACATTCAAAATAAATCTTCTTTTACAGAAGATGACACATTTTATTTTTTAATTATATTTATATAATTGAAAATAATTATAAAACAATTATAGAGAATAAAAAAATATTTATTTCTTTAATTGGCAAGAATTTGAAGTAAATAATTAAACAACAAAATGTTCAAAGATAAGATAACAAATTAAACAAAATCTACAGTATTTATTACCATGAGTAGGAACTGTTAACATGCTGAGTGTTTTGTACTAATGAAATGTCACATTTAACAGAGTAATGTCAACCCTCATTAAGAATGGGGACATAAGCATGATATATATGTTGGTCAATGAACCCCAAGTAATCATTCCAAGGAGACTGAATATTTTAATCAGGTATGAAAGCTGGCAGAAAGTATTTTGAGATCAAACTGCTACTTATGATATCCAAAAGGAGCTTTCAGTAAAATCAAGTTCGGGTATGAAAGCACAATTTAGAATGAGAAAGTAGCGTATACTGTATTAGTAATATAAACTTGTGATGTCCATGATTTTAGCATATTTAAGTACAGTTCCTTGAATACAATCTGAAAACTTGTTCAACTACCATATATGATGGTTAAAAAAAACTTTATGATCATGATCATGACTATATTGATGATGAAGGTGGCGATAATACTGATTGATCAGATGAGGATGATGATAACAATAACATATTAAAATCAGTAATGATGAAAACAATGACAATGAGGTTGATGAAGATACAGATAAAGATGAATAAAGATGGATAAAGATGATGAAGATGATGAAGGTGAGAATGAAGATGATGAAGACAATGAATAAAATCAAGTTTGTAGGCTCAGTACATATATGGTAATCTATTTTTATCTGCAAAAATCCTTCTTACTCCAGGTTGAATGATAATGCTATTCCTTAAAAACAACTGCCTGGTGAAATGGCTCAGTTCAAACAGCTGCACTATGTATATTGCTCTTAGCCTATTTCAACAACTACAGTATACTTTATGCAAATCATTATTCATGTGTAGTACTGGATTGACAGTATACACAACTGTCTGGAATACATTATCATTTGATGATATTCATAATATGTCCTTTGGATCCTTTTTTTAAAATAAATGGATTCATTTGTGTCTTACACAGTTGGACGTAACAAGACTATAAATTCAATATACTTAGCTGACTGTTGCTGTAATTGTTATTGTTAATATTATATTACCACAAGTTTGTTTCTATTATTACCAATATACTAACTAGTGTTATGTGTTTTAAAAAAATATTGTGCAATAAATGTTGGCCTTTAAGTTTGTAAACACTGTTGAATCACTATGAATCAGACTACGATGGTATTCTATTAATTATCTACTACGAGTTCAGACATTAAATTTCATATTGGGGAGATATAAACAAATACAGCTGTTAAATGAACCAGTGTCAAAGTTGAAACAAGATATTATAGCAGACAATGAATGGATAGTTAAGGTATTTCCTATTTCTTGTACAATCAGTTTTTAAAATACAGTATATTACTTATGAGTTGATAGGAGTAATCTTTAATTATTACAGATTTATCAATATCAAATTACTAGTAAATAATCATCAATCAATCAACAGCAATAATGACTGATGAAGAATTAGTGATCGGATCAGAATATCACAAGTGAAATAAATTGGTTTAAGAAAAAAAAAATCAATATTTATTAACAAAATCATATGTAACAATAATAATTTATAATTAATAATTCTTGATAGTTATAATTAATAATTTTTTATAATTAATTTTTATCAAATTAATAATTACATAATATTTAAAAAAATTATACCTATTTAAATTATATACAATTATAATATAATAAATGTATGACTAAAGTATACAAAATTTTCAATTAAATTATTAATTAATGACAACCTACAGTATATAATTAAAATAAAATAAATAACCAATAAATTAAAATGAAAATTCACGAATAATTCTTTTTTGTAAATGCCCTGTGGTATTTTTGTTTGTTAAAAAAAATTATTGATAACCAAACAGAATAGATCAGAACTGTAGTACGTTTCTTTTTAAATGTCTTAAACCTTATCATGAATTGTATATTTTTATATTTCTTGATTGTTTTTTTACCTTGCTGTTGTGTTTGGGAAAAAAATGATTGATTATTATTAAATTATTGATTATGTTGGGTTGATAAAAATGTGTCAATCTTATATCACATTATGCCAAGCAAGCTCTCGTGTGCTTCACATGTTACATACTTTAAATATGGTCATGATGACATCACATCATGCCCATATATAGGCAAAACATGACTATATATGGTCATACAACATTCTTTTGACAAAGAAAATTTGATAACCTGGAGAGATTTATCCTTGGATCAAACACCTATGGAACACATACTCAGCTCCCTGGGGCCCCTGGTAGGATGTGAATTATCTGGAATGAAATTAGTAGTGCTAAATTACATACATTAGGCCTACTAGGAATACTTCACAGTGAGTGCAGGAGTTGGTACGTTGTGCATGGCTGGATCTGTACCAGGAAGGAAATGCACCTTGAGTAGTCCTTATAATTTTTCATTTCATTTCATTTCTTTAGGCACAATATGCCAATCAGTGAATTTAATCACTATCCTACCTGGCATATCCATTAAACCACAAGGGACCGAATGGACCAGTACACCGGGGTAACCCTTTACTCTTCTTGAAGGATGTACTGGCACACAAGCCAAATGCGTACACTAGGCCTACGGTTTAAAGTTCTTATCCGATTCCGAGAAGACTTGTCCCACTACCGTAACCATTGTCGAGTGAGCCGTTTGAACCACCGCCGATATTATAGTTGAAGGTTACGGTGCCCCTGACTTTAACCGCTCGGCCAATCAACTTTCCATAGTGAAAAGAAAGTGCAGTTTTCCTTATAATAAGTTTTAAAATTCTATAATGCTATTATTAGTAATTAGCGGATTTTTTGTGCTTGAAACTATGAGATACCAACCAACATTCCTTAGCAGAGAGAGAAAAGCACAGATAAAGTGTCTTGCTGAGGGACACTGGTCAAAGGCACAGCAAGGATTTGAACCAAGACATTGAAGTTGAGAGGCTGAGTCAGAACTGTCAATAAACAACTCAGGAAAAACAATAATGGTCTTTATTATGATGAGCTTTTTTGAACATGGCATAAAAAAAAAAAAAATGATAATTCATTATTAATTAATCAATAAATAGAGGCACACACTACATATATGTGTGGGCATTTGACAACGTGACACCATCTGCTGATTATTGGTGTCCCAAGCAAAATTATTTGTTACTCATGGCTTGACCGTGAAATCGCGTCGGCCCACAACCATAGACGCAGCGTGTGCCTGGCTAAATATAGAAAGCATCGCTTACCGAATCCACCACCTCCGATTTTCTTTATCTGTAATGAAAAGAAAACCCAAGTAATAACCAGAATTAGTACAGAAAATTATCATTCTAATAACAAAAATCATAATATTTAAATAATTACCAATTAACATAATCAAATATTTTTAAATAGCACAATCAGTAACTATAATAAGCTATAAATAAAAAAAAAAGAAAGAATAACAATAAATATTTAATAAAAACAACATTAACAACAATAATAACCATAATAATAATCACTAACTGGCAGAAATAGCAATGTAAACAATAATATTGCTTTAATTATTATCACAAATAGTTATTGATCAAGAGTTAAATAGTAAGACAGTATACATCAAAGGTTAGTTATTACTTCCAGGTCAACGATGAGTAAAAGGAATTCAAATTTGTTTAGAAGACTTTAAACAGCTATATTTTCACACCCGTTCAGCAGAATTTATATCTTAGTAAAATTTTACATCTTGTTTGATTTTTAAATAATTTATGTCAACTAAATCATACAGAGCCGTAAACAGTTTTTTTTTTTTTCCTAAAATAACTGCTTGCCCTAATATATCAGATATTGAATATTTATCTAGTTTTAATGTACTTATTGCTAGCCCATCCCTAATATACTCAAGTCCCGGACTCATGACCACCAACTTTTTACAGCCCTGAAACAAGACCTAAACCATAGTGGAGATATTCTAGTGAAGCTAAGGCTGTCGCACAAAAATGGAAAATGACCCTGTACTCCCCAAAAGCTAAAGATTATGAACATGCCTTTCTTTCAATATCGTGTAAAAACTGTGAAACGTGGACGACTAAAAGGGTTTGATGTTTTTTAGATAGATCCAAAGCCGACAACAGAACAGTAGAAAACTAATGCTGCTCAGCCACGTTAAATTATAATTCTATATCATGGTGTATAAATTATGAACTTGAATAAGACAATAATGAAATAATTATTATTCATTTTTTGAAAATTCATTCAATGATTTAGTTCAAAGTTGAATAATTTTCATTCCCCCTCTCCCTAAAACACCCTTACAAGAAAATATTTAACAATCTTTATTGGAAAACTTTGTGGTACATATGAAATTGCTAATTTTTGTAATTATTCATTTAAATTCAAATTGCGTATGGCAATTGTGCACAGAAATTGATAGCAATGTTTACACATGATATGGTTACACTTACCACTTGCCATCGGTCCTTGATGATGGCATCTGGGCTCAGCAGGTCATCAGCCATGACTGCTCCCCAGATAAGTATAGTCACAGACTAGAGGATGAAGGTATACTTCTTAGGCCTAAGGCTAGCATTCTTGCACTAGGGAAAAAAAGTAACAAACCATATTAATACACAACTTATATCTAATAACTAAAAGCTATGATCCTGGTTGGAGAACCCCAAATAAATTACATAGATTATTAATAATATACATAGTTATTTAAATTTGGCTATAATAAAGATTTAATTTTAAATGCAATAAATAAATGGAAGAATAAATAATGTTCCAAAAGGATTCAAACCAATATCCTCAAATACTGTATGTTTTACCGGCCAAATATAACAACAAGATCTCTGTACATAACAATTTTCTGTAAATCCACAATAAAATATTAATCACTATATAATTAATATTAATAGACATTAAATGAAAAATATATTGACATTCTACAGTAGGTTAAAATAGCATAATGCTTTACATTCAAAGACTGGAATCACACTTAAGCTTTTTGACTAAATATAAAACCTACATAAGCCAAGTTTTTAAAAAATACATTATTGTATGAACAGAGCCTGCGATTATAAATAGTACAAACACAATTAACTTTGAAAAATGGCTAAACCCACAGTAATATTTGAAAAGGTCACACAAATTTATACAGGGACTCTCAATAAACTCTTTTGAAGATCACTAGGAAGGAAAAGACTTTGAATGAAGTAACGAACGAACGATACAGAATCAGTTCTCAAATGAACATTAATATGATACTACATTTAAATTTTGTTTTGTGTGTGTTCTAAACAAGATCACCAAGGTCTGAGCCACCCACTACATCAGTGGATCACAAAAGCTATAGCTCTCAAGTTAATAGGTGGCTACAGCTGCCATTTTTCAATTCTGAAGCCAGTTAAAATCACTTCCTTTTAATTGAAAATTTATTAGCCGTACCATGATTTCTCGGCACACATTACTACTGACTTTAACATCACATTCTTTATTATTATCACACACAAGTACTGTACATCATTATTCTTTCTTATTCTAATAAAGATTAAAGTACTTCTATTTTCATGGAATTGTCTTATTCCTCTTTTTAGGTGGGGAGAGGGGTGGAATGAATACTATTTAAAAACATCACTTTTGTGGAATTTAGCACTTTAAGAACATACTTAATTGGATACAGTATTACTACTTAAATACAATACTTAATACCACAACATTGGTTTAACTTGCTTCCATCCATTCAGCAAATTGAAGATCTGATTGTGTTCTGAAAATTTTATTATCATACAATAAATTATGAGTGTTTAGTGTAAATGATTGCTGAGTGAATCACCGAACTCATCCTATTCAATAAGAATAGGAGTTCATTAACTGGCCTGAACATCTGATAAATTCCCTGTTGGCTTGCAGAGTATGCTGGCTACAATAAAAATACAGTAGTCTCAACAAACAATACTACTGTATTCTAATTAAACACAGAAGTATCATACTTATTTTGTATACTGTAATGGTATTTGTACATATATTGTGTAACCATTGATACAAAATAAACATGATAAAAATATTTGCTCAACATTTAAAATAAATACAGTACTGGCTGTAAAAAAATGTTGAAAAGCTTAAAAAATACAACTGCTTAAACATCTAACCAATATTATTTTTTTGCTGATGTAGAGACTATGTACTTAAAAAAATCTATTTATAGTAATTACCATGCACCTATGAAAAGAATGTTAATCTACAATATTCGTGCATTTGTAAATTTGAGGTGAAGAAACATTCTTTACTATAATTTATATTTGAAAACTAACATCACTTCTGTCCACTTATTTATTACAACAAAATCTCCCAATTATGAACCTCCTAATTACGACTTTTTGAACTTGATTTGCAGCGATGACGTCATTATGAATGATCTCTTTTAACTACAAAAACACTTACTGTGGGACTACTTCACTCTGTATATTATAACATAGGCCTACCCTCACCACTGAGATGCTATGAAAATTTTAATTCTCTGAATTATAATTTCCTCATACACAAAACCCTGTCCGGACAGAGGGGTGCATAATTGGGTTAATGTTATTGTACTTTGGTTTTGGATGTTGAATTTTAAGTGCAGTAGTAATTAATTACACCTATATCCTTTCCCCCTTTACAAACTACACTGGAATTAAATTGCTAAGCTTTATAGGTCATTTTTCTACATTTGTTTCACCCTCTTTATTCAGTGATATAATGACTATTTACTGTAAAATTTAATTTTGTAGATTGTGGTTTTTTTATTTTATTAGTATTACAAGTCTACACGGAATAGAACAACTTTTGGTGAGACAAATTTTTCTGTGAGTTACTATTTGATTTTATTATACTGTATATTGAAATTTTCTTAAAAGAGGCTGAATAAATCAATTTTTTTTAAATTAAAAATAATGTGCAGATATTTTACAGGTTTTATTTCATATTTGACATATATGATCTAGCAGCATACTGATTATTTTGATATAGAAATTATGTAGGTTAGGTCTACACGTTGATGTGTAAGTTGAGTGGGTGAAGATAGCCTCAAATGACGAAATCAATAAAAGTTATTCAGCGGATCATGTAGCATATATGATGTGGCTTTGTTTAAGCCTACCACCTGAAGAGCCTGGGGTGTGTGGCTACCTAGGATATCAAAATGACCCACGAAACCAAGCTGAGGAGCTACTGTACATTAGCATAAAGATGGCTATAGCTTCAATAATTATCTATCAGACATAATGATTGCTAAACTGAGGCCCTAAATGAAATGCTTCCAATTAGAATCTCAGTTGAATGCCATACTGTACATGAGCATCTATCATTGCATTCATGGTATGTTGCCAAGAGCAGATGTTGTGTCTTCCTATCATTTTTGTGTTGCATGAAAATATGGTGCTTTGCATATAATTGCTACATTTGCCATTTCATGACATGGTGAACTTTATTGTCTACATCAAATCTATAAAGAAAAAAGGAGACTTATCAATGATGCAATTTTAGTCTGTGTCCATAATAATTCTTCTCATTCTTTACAAACAAGCTTTGGTAGCCTTTTAGCCAGCTTCATCTAGGTGTGGCTTTCCCCATAAAAGTGTACTAGCATGACAAAACACAGCCCGTCTTGACATTTTGACAAATTTATATTATCTCTAACGACCTCTCTCAGTGAATGAGAGTTACACAAGCAGTGTTTCATTTAATTACTCAATTACGAATTGATTTGAATTGTTTACTTAAAAGAAGGTTTACATGATAAATTAAAATAGAGTTTTAAGCGTAGAAGACATTGTTTCAACTGGATTGTTGTACAGTAACAATTGGTTTCGGAGGGGTACTGTATTTCTCACCTGACCTCCATACAACTATCAGAGGTGTTTCCAAGGCCCTGAGGCTTGTCCTTTAGCTATTATTTTTGTTTTCATTTATGAATATCATGAACAAAACAATTCCTAAATATATTTACAACAGATGTTGTTTATATCCAAAGCATTTCATTCCACTCCTTTACATGTACACACATGTAAGTTTTCATAGGAAATACGTTCATGTGACAATATCCACATAAATTTCACTGAAAAAAATGCTAATGGTGGGTTTTTTACGTCAGGCTTACATGAACATCATTACATTTATTTTACATGAAAAGAAGTTAATTGTTGTAGCTTTAGACCTAGTCTAGGCTTGCTGGCTAGCAGCAGAGATCCAATATGCTTGACCAACACACTACATAATAAAAGAAACAAGTTAAGTACTATATAGTGTTTTTAAATGTTTAATGATTCTAAAAACCTACAATACACATAAATAACATGATTACTGGTAGTGTGCTATCTTTAAACAAGGTGGTAAGGCTCTTAAGCAGTTGGGTCCTGTTTAAAAAATGGGAAAGTTATTTAATTGATCCTCACAAAAAAAAATACCTGTAACTAATGAATAGGATTTAAGATAATTTCATAATTTTGAATGACTCAGATAGTAAACTGTAATGTTCTATTCTATGGTAAAATGAATATTGGCACACATTACATAACCATTTAACTGTACATTTATTTATAATAATAATCATTAACATTTGACTTAAATTATTTACAGTACATCACCATAATTATCAACATCAAATATAGCCAGGTATGATATTAATACAATTATGAATCCATTTGACATACTTGACTTTAGAATAATCAATCATCATCAAATAGACAGGCATAATTGTGTTTTGTTTTTTAATTGTGATTTTTGCAATCCATAATTTTATTGTAAACCTCTGTACTTCAGCCTTCATGCTGCCAATGATGGAATACTGTAAATTTAATTTGGAATATTAAACAATAGATTAAATGAAAACTCATGAATCATTAATAATATGCACCTAGATTTTTAATGATTAAATCACTGTCATCAACAACACTAAATGGAATCATCATCAGAAAATAGGCCTACTACAGTATATGCTTATTGACTTTCATCAAATACAACCAGTATGTACATTATGCATATTGATTTTAAGTTACCGGCAACAGCGGTAAAGCACATTTTATCCTGAGGGAGTACAGAAATGTTGTAAACTACAAGCGTAGATAAGGACCTGACTAATGAGATTACGAAGACTCAATAGTGTACAGTACATAGGTCTTATGGATGTTACAATATAACCCCATGATGCAATCACGATAGACTTTGCTAAAAACATTGTGTATTACATAAACTTACAACCATGGAATGCTTCAATCAACCAGCAATGAACTACAATTATGGTCATATGCCAGCCTACGTTAATAGGATCTACTATTCGTTACAGAATTGTTTATAAAAGTTGTTTATTGTTTGTTTAGGAATTTTAATCCTCAAACATGTTCATGTTGTTTTCCTTTACTTTTGGTATAGATTTTTAAATGCTAGTACAGTACTGTTAATTTAATTTGTTGTTGAGTATGTGTTCCATGTGTGTTTGATCCAATGACCGGGATAATAATGTGAAGCGCTTAGAGGCATTGTGCATGAAGCGCTATATAAGAGCAACATATTATTATTATTACTGTAACATAATGTCAACTGTTCTCTAACACCTATAAATGTAGCACACAGAGCTTCCTGGGAAGTATTCCATAACATTTATGTTGTTGCTTGTAATCACTGCACTGGCATTCGGGCCTACCAGGTACCCACAATCTAAGTGGCGTGGAGACTGCTGTTCTTAAATAATACATTATACTATTATGCAAAGGACGCGCTTCACACCACTACTACTGTTACTGGATTAAATACCTTATTATAAAACACATACTTAGATCCATGGGAGAGAATTACAAAAATGCAGTTACTGTACTAATCAACACATTGGTTTTTATCTATTATAATACCACATACCCACATATTATATACTGTACTCCTTGGTAGAGAGAAACAATGTATAAAGCGCATTGTCAAAGGGCAAGGTGATGAATTTGAACTCCCAACCTCATAAAACAGCCCATTTGTGTGTCTACCACCGAGTATTTTTTTTTCTTTTTAACATTTTTAGCGCCTGTGCATCCATTCATGACAACTACTGTACAAATTCTGAAGCTATCCATCCCACAAAATTACTGGTTACAATAGTGTTCAATTAATAAAATATGGATGTGAAATTTTCTCTTTCACGAAGGATGCTGTTATTATAATCTATAATCTGCTGTATGCAAGCAACAAACAATCTGAATTGCAAAAAGAGACGTAGGGATTTTATGACAGTTCAAACGATGTAAAATTTGTTCATTGACATTTTGCAGGATTAACCAGTGAGTTCATTTGCAGGAATAAAGAGTGAGGATACAATTTGTAACCTTTAACATTTTGTTTATAGCTCAACATCTTTTTTTTTTTTAACTTATGGTTTAAGGAGGCAGGGGCAGATCCAGAAACAAAAAACAAAGGAGTCGGGGACCCAATGGAAATTTTGATTCTTAGATGGCCGGAAATGAACTTTCCAAACTTCTGAGGGATCTGTTAAGTTCTTCAAAAGTCAAGGTTTTTCCACCACTTGAAAAAGGTCAGATGATTTTATCATTCTTATTGTGAAATCAAAGACATAGGCTAGACAATATATTGACATTGTTGCATTTCAAAGACTCCAGTTATGCCTAATACTAGGCCAGGCACTAAATAGGCTTCCCTTGCCATGGTGAATTGACATGTTTTTTTGTCTTGCCTGGTCTTGCCTAGTCTTTTTATTTCATTATTCCTTTATATAGGCCTAGGCCTAATTATCAGTATTACTTAGTTAGGATACTTAATTAGTCATTCAATAATCGAACTGACTGAAAACATACAATACAAAATGCGATTCCAAACTCCGAAATGGTCCTAGGCCTACACCGACTAGCTTATAATTAGGACTTACTCTTAGGCAGACTAGGGTAGCGGGGGGGACTAGCCTAGCCGGCAGGAGCAAGTGTGGCCTTTAGTTAGCTTAGGCCTACCTAGGCCCCAGTTTCATGAAAATTAAATATATATTATAATAATTCTGTCTGTTGTTCTCTCCAGAACACAGTATAAAATAGGGGCCTAGGGCATAGGCCTAAAATTTCCACTGAGAGATGAGGTCAAACATATACGTTTAAAGAAATGTTGGGATTTGTTATTCTTTATTCCATGGTGTAATGTACTGTAGGCCTAGCCTACGCTACAGGGTAGGCCTAGCCCTAAGTAGGAAGTAAGGTCGGGAGCAGCTTTTTAAAGGTACTGCTCACCGCAAAGCTGTCGAACGATTTGGCAGTTTTGAAATATGTGTGGTATGTGCAATATTTGTCGTATATAACAGAATTCTCTCGTAAAATAACCAAAATGTGATACCTTTGAAAATTATAAACTATAAAACAAATATCGGATACTTACCAATTAGGTTGTCACGTCATAGCGAAGAGCTTAAATTAGTCAAACTCTATCAAAACAATCTTCGGCGAAAACTTCAGACGCCATATTTTACCTAAACTACCTACACATCTAAGCATAATAATAAAGCGCGTTCTGAAAACAAATACTGTAGTTGTCTGAACTTTGGGTGAGACTTTGTTTAGCCTTTAGCTATTGACTATGGTTTACCGAACTTACATCTTTAAAGATCCTCGGAGGAGGGCGGAAAAATAAAAATTAAATTCTGTTTTCTTACTCAGCAAAATTATTTTTCCAAAGCATCTAGGTGGAGAAAGTAAAAATAAAAATGTATTGATGAATGTAAATAGTGTAGTAATGAGATTGATGAAATGATTTAAATTTATAATTAATATAGAAATATATATATAAACCTTATTTTTGTAGAAATACAAAATATTCTTTTTTTTTTTTTTAAATTTCTATTTTTCATGGCGGAGGCTGCACTAACTGGCCAAAAATAAAATTTTATTTTTATTGGAAATCGCCATTATGCGGCCGGAGGGTTCGCAAAAAAGAACGCTATAAAAAAAAATCTCGCGTTGACTGGGCCTAACTTATACTTTTATGAATGTGGTCGTCTAGTTTGATATTTATATTAAAATAACATAATATTTTCATTAATCAATTGCATTTATGTTTTTTTTTTTTCATATTCTTTGATTTTCCTACTGTAAACTCATGACGACTATAGCTTAACAAATGTGTTGACTATAGCTAATAATAGAAAACAGATTCAATGCATTCGTTACATTCACATTGTCAACTTTCCAACTGAACACTTCGTAGTTTATCTAAATAAAAAAACAGATCAAAGTAACTTCTGTGTGTTCAAAATAAATAAACAGATCAAAGTAACCTTTGTTCGTTCAAATTTTCTAGTACCGGAGACAGGCTTTGCGGAAAGTTACCGTGGATTAAATGCTGCCCTCTAGAGAACAGAGATATAGAAACTACAGCACCCCATAACTGAGTTTGAGCACTGACAACGCACTAGCTAAGCGTAGGCCTATATTTATAATTTCATCATTATGATTTGTATTCTGTGTTTTTACAACAAATATTATTCAAGATTTTTTCTACAGAAGTCTATATATATTATAAATTAGGGGTGGTGTATCATCTCCTTAAAAATTAACAAGTTTTGAAACTTTAGGCTCAGTAAACGTCGAAGAGGATAAAAACAACTTCAGTAAGTCAATCTGTTTTATATCCTCCGTAGTACAAACTTTTGTTTTGTAATAGGGCGGATCGTTGTTGATTGTCAATAGTCAGTACAGAATTACATAAAAAATTATGTCAAGCGTTGATGAAGACTACAGGAGTAGCCGAAACATTCGCATCAATAAATTTTAGTATTTTTTAAACTTCAACATCTTATATGAGTTTTATTACCGTTACGCTATATTATACCATATATATATTATATATATATATATATATATATATATATATATATGAAAAAATATGATGATGATTATGACGGTGATGGCGATGTCAGTATAATGGTGGTGGTTGTGATGATGATGATGAAAATGATGGTGTCCAGGACGATGGCGACGACGATGATGATGGATGTTGTTGACATAGGTCGGAGGCGGATTTAGGAAAGTCAAAAAAAGAAAAAAAAAAAGAAAGAAAAAGAAAAAAACGATCGCCCAAAACGCCTCAAAGATTATTTTCCAGCGTCTAAAAAACAAAATGATCATGGTGTAGGAACAAAATCAATCAACAGTTTGCATATTTGGTATTTTCTTGGTGGTTTCTCTGTAGGCTATAGTCTTCAGATTGAGGTATTGGGACTGAAAATCCCCGGACAAAAATTTGGTTATTCTGGTTGTAGTGTATAATCAATGGCATGTTTAGTATTGATATGTACTGTAGTGTAGTTCTCGTTGTTTTGCAACGCACTGCAATTGATGATTGTGTTGCGGTTGTCCGACACCGCAACACAGTCGTCAAAATATTTATTTTAAAATCCAATCAAAGGTATTATGATTGCCAATTCCTAATATTGGGGTCTTAAAAGTATAATTTTGGGATGCCCGAAAATAGCACAATTGTAGAGCCGTATTGTATTGTATCAGGTGGTAGCTAGTGGAATAATAAAACTATCTTATTTGATAAAATAACAAAATACTGTATGTATAATAAGTAATAATTTACTAGTAAAAAAATGTGTTTTTCCATAGTAGCAGAAGTAGAAATACTGTAATGTAATTACAACAGACCATTGCATACAAAATAAAAACTTTTTTTTCTACTTTTTGAAAATATTTTCTTTATTCACCATTGCATGATTACATATTTTCATATAAAAAATAACAAAACAGAATAAAAGTAGGTGAAATAATTACTGTATATTGTTTAATATATACTATATAATGGAAGAAATTCAATGAAATACATTATTAATACTAAAAAGCTTAAAAGATTTGCAATTTCCAAATATTGAAAGATGTTTACGAATTCCTAAATCATTTATATTGTGGTGAATTTTTTATACTCTCAATAATTATTGAAATTTAATTTGATTTTAAATAATTTTCTGCAAAAAATATGTAAAAATTATGAAATATTTTCTACATTTAAGAGATATTGGTCCATTTGAAATGGTTTTTACTTTGAAATGTAGCCAACTTGGTTTCTGTCCAGTGAAATGATGGTAAAGTGAATATACTGTATCTTATTTTTTAATGCACTACACAGCATTATATAAAATATTGATTCATATCAATATCACTTTAGTATTACAAGAAATTGTACCTGTATTTTGTAAATCTTTATCCATGCATTGATATGTGTACTTAATTATAACTTAATTAGATGGTGGAAATTTATTAGATCATTTATGTTTTTTGTACATTTGCCTTTCTTCTCATTTATGCAACTCGCAGGCACACAATGGCAACCCATTCTAGACTTTACTGACAATATAGATAGCAAGTTTGAAATTGATAGACAATGTACAAAATCAAGCAGATTCATGGCAAGGCTCCAGGAAAGGAAACTAGTGACTTAATAGAAGAATTCACATTACTGGGGAATTTATAGGCAAATTCACTGGTGACTTCACAGATTTATGTGGATTTTTTTGGAATAGTAGAATGTGTTGATATGCCAGGTCCATCAATGAACTTAAAAAGTGAGTTCACTGATGAATTTACAAACAAGTCCACTTGTCAGTTCACAGGTAAATTGGAATTTTCATGATACATGCGATTGAATTTGTTGCTCTATTTCCTCTAAACTTCGCATAACATGTCCAAGTTTTTCTTCGTCCATTTCAAATCGCACAATATCTGTCCCCTGAAAGAAATAAAACAAAGTTATTAAATATCTGTTGTTTATATTCCAAAGTGTGCGTATGATACAAATTACTTGATTATTTATTATTTATAACATAATACATTGTAGTATTTATTAGTATTTATTAAATTCATTCAGAGAATGCTGTATTAGTTAAGATGAAAGCATAAGTGCTGCACCTTTCTGGGGAATGGTTATCAATGTACATATAGTCTTGTCTTGTACAGATACTTACTTCTTTTTTTCCATGTGTGTTTGTTATCTGCAATTCAACAATAGCTGTAGGGGTGTTAATCTGCTCAATATTTTTAGCTTGACCTTTGACATCAATTCTCCAACTCATACTTTTTAATGTGTTGTTCCAAGAACTCTGCAAACATACAAAATTGGTTATTTTCACCACACATCATAAAATGCTCAAAAACAACATTAGAAAAACACCAAATTCCTTTATCTTGCACATAATTGTGTATCATATTGTGTGAATGACGATTGTAATATAAAGCATTATCGTATCACATCATAGGGTAAACGCTCAAAGGTGCACACATTCAGTATACAGTATAATTATTTCTTCTTTAAATTTATATTTTACACACCTGTGATATTACACTTTCGTGAATTTTTGTCTTGTTATTCTTCCAGAACTTTGTAAAGGCAGCTGCTTGTTCTTCTGTCAGTCCCCCGTCACGCTTTTTCTTGTGAGATGTTAGAAATGCTTCAAGCTGGTTAAAGTCCATATCTGCTGAAACTAAACTCTGAATAACAAAAAAGAACCATGAAATGATTATTTGCACTCAGAATATACTCCAATTTCAAAGATAAAAACTATTATTTGTTAAACAAGCTCTCTCTTTACATTAAGGAATGCAAACAACTTTTAATAAACCCCCCGTTTAGGATTATCTGCATAATTACGCAAAAATACGCATTTTGCAAATTGTGCCAATGACCCAAACTGTGCAGGACCATAACTCTAAAGTAAGGCCTGCTTGAGGAATATATCCTCCAAGTACTAGGCCTAGAAATCTGTCCACGCATTTTGGAAAACAAGGGCTGATTTCAAGCAGAATTAGCAGAAAATTAGGCTTTGACCTAATCTTAATTATATTATGCAATAATTATGATTCTGCGCACCTATTTTCTATGCGATTTTATAAAGCAAATTTGAACTAGTTTTTGAGGTATCATCCACGCAATTCAAAAATACTTATGGTATACAGTATGGTGCAACAATGAAGGCCAAATGAAGCATGATCCAACCATGGAGGTATTATTGAGAAGGAGATCACTCGGCAACAGATCCCTTTGACGCCACAAACCCATGTGTTCCCCGCCTTTGGATCGTGCGCGGGCGTATTACCCTATAATTCACATTTTTTCGTTAGCAAGAACTTGGCAACGACATGCATTTATACGCTTCCAACAGAGCAGTTGTGCAATAAAGCATTTGATTTTAACCCATTAAATATCTTTATAAAGAACAATGTTCCCCTGATTAGATTTTTTCGGACTTTTGGTATGTTATTATTTGTATATTTCAGGAACGGATTCCGTAAAATATTAATGTTAAAATTACTTCCGTGTTCATTATAATTTTGTCTAAAGATTGATTGCTTCGACTATAAAGCTAAGTCAGCGTAAAACTGAAAAATACTCATATTTTGGATTGATTTTTCGAATAGTTAACCCTCGTTAACCCTAAAATGACTTAGTTTATTATAATCCTCAATCATTTATTAATTAATATCTGTTAAAATTAGAATTGGCGAATTTTGGCCAATTTATGAAAATTGAAGTTGAAATATACTATACTTTTAAAAGTCATGTAAATGTTCCATTAAATTCGAAACTTTTTTTTTGTGGAAAATATTAATATGTTTGATATTTTATGAGAGATAAATGTATCAGCTTCAAAATGGAAACGATTGCGCAGCCATAGTGATCGACTGTATGTAGTGCGCATCGAGAAAAGAAGGTGCTCTCCATTTCGCCATGTTCAATTTTTTGGTAAACAATGCCTGCTGAAAATTTGATGGCGGGGAACACATGGGACTTCAAAGGCATCGCGCAAACGTTCTTCATACGCTGCGGCAGCTTTGATCTTGGTTCATTTGCATAGCGCTGCGTGCGTGTAGCTTTTTCAAGTGATCTCCTTCTCAGTAATACCTCCATGGTCCAACCATCCCTTGAATGAAGTTTGCACAAAGGATCCAACCCAACCGATTTGATCGGGAGTCTCCCGAATTTACATGCTATCTGCGAGTCTCCCGATATTGTTCAAAGTTCTCCCAAATTTCAAAAACTAGGACTAGGTTAGGCCTAGATATGTTGTATTTACAGTACAACCATGATATTTTAACATACGGCGCGTAAAAAACATGGGATTCGCACGGTAAATTAGATGAAATTAATTTCTAAGCCACATGAATGAAAAACCATATAGTTATCTCATAAATTACATTTATGACTCGACTCTTCGAAAGACGTTAATGTGACATTTCAACCATGAGAGCGCTTTCACTAATTTGCGGGAATTAGGGGCTGTATTGCACAGTATGACAAAATATTTACAAGAGGGGCTTTTAAGCACAGAGTACTTTGCCACGTTCCTGCACTTACTATTACTCTAAGAAACAAATAAACAAAAATTTTTAAAAGTATTAGGCCTCTAATATTATAATAAATATTTTTTTTTAGGGCTTGTCTTGAATGGAATGAAGACTTGTGGAAAAAAAATGAAGTCACTGCTCTACAAAATTTCTATTAAAAAAAGTAATAATGAGAGTAATAATAGTATCATCCCAGAATGAAAGGGCCTACGCTTGAGTCTGTGTTAGGCCTAGGGCCTAGATCTGAACGGTAGGTACAGTAACGTAAACAGGGGCATGCGACATTTCCACCGCCCACACCACCAAACAAACGAAGTGGCTAAATAACCTAGCTAGGCTAGGCTAGGGCTTAGGCTGATACCTTCAATAGATTTTTGAACTTCCTAAGAACTGATTGAAATTCATCTTCAGACGATTCGGGAAAAAGTTCACTTTTTAAAAAATCGTCAGTAAATTCTTCGTTTCCATAGTACTGTCTTTTAGCTATACCATTTAGAAGGCCAAGATATATTTTACTCTGTTGACCAGCCATTTTTCCGCACGTGATGGAAAACTGTCCAATAAAATCAGACCTTTCATCTCATTACATCCAGGGGCCAACCCTAAAGTCTTGGTACATGAAAGACGATTAGTCAATTTGGTCAAGTAATCGAAAAAGATCTATAGATGGCGCTAATCAATGTTGTTATAGTTGATAGTGCTTGCGAAGTGTTTGGAAATATACTGAACGTGTTGGACTAAAGTTTTACAAGAATACGGCATTTATGCATCAGATTTATAATGTACCTCTCAAAAGCGTTCAACAGAGGAGTGCCTCTATGTAGATCCAGTGTTTTATTGATAGAAAACTTGAAAAGACATAACCGGTTCCTGTCTTGCTTCTCAGCTGTACGATTCCAATGTGTAAATGAAAGTAGAGAGGAACACACAGAGAATGAAGGAAATCCTGCAAGCGAATTTTATGATATTGTTATTGCTGGAGCTGGGATGGTTGGCACAGGAATGGCATGTGCATTAGGTTTGTAATTTATCTGGTGTTCACTCAAGCGTTTATTATTGGTCTCGCTAATTAAAAGGCAACCACCATACACTGCTGCATACTGCATACTGCATGTCGCATACTGCACGCCACCCCCAAGTTCGAAAAAAAATCTCTTCCTTGAGATCTGAAGTTAAATGAGATTCCTTAACATATTTAATTTTATTTTGCTGCGCATGGTGATGCAAATCAGTGCTGAATTCCATGAGACAATTGATGTAAAGTGTAAAAATATGCAAATACTGTATTATATTGTGAATTTTCTGTGCTTGCTTCTGGGAGGGCGTCTTTGGCAGGCTCTCGTAACTTCCGAGAGAGTTGGGACCCCTGACACCGCCGTACACCGGTGTGCAAGTGGTGGTGCTGGGGGGGGGGGGGGTTCCAGGTCCCAGAATAAAAAATCCCTTGTAGGGTACACGGGGAGAATTTTATTTTAGGGTTTGACAATCAAAACAGCGGTGGCTCCAGATATTTGCCGACAGGGGGTCCGACGGAGAGGTCTGAACCATGGCGACGACACAGCCTTGGTCGACGGCCCGGAATAAAAAAATCCCTGTTAGGGTTCATGGGGAGAGTTTTTATGTCTTAATTTGGCCCTAAATGTGCTTTTAGACCACAATATTATTAGGGATTGGCAATCAAAATAGAAATTATTTAGATAGGCAGATTATTATATTCTTTTTAATTTTTGGTCCGATGACCTAGTCGTTCATCGGACGTCAGGGGGTCCAGGCCTGACACGAAGACCAGCTCAAACACGAAGAGACCCTTGGGGGAGAAGGAAGTTACTGTATGAGAGCTACTGTAGTCCACGCTTTGAGCGCTCTATTTTATCTTCATAAAATAGCACTATATGTATGGATAAAGAAATAAAAATAATGACTGGGCCCCGCCAGCCACCCACTGGTGCTACCCCTGTGCATGCCACCCCTGCACATTGCATGCATCAGTGTTTATAATACATTTTATTCTTCAATTTAATTTTAAATATTATGAATTAAAAGCTTTTGAGGTGTCAGATCCGTCATTCCTGTACAACGTTGGTAAGGACAAACACAACAAGCTTTTCGCTTTTGTGAAAGACAGTGATTATTATTTATTAATAATATGCAATTTGCTAACATGTTGATATTTCTTTCTTGATGTTTCAGGACATAACAAGATGTTTGAACATCAAAAAATCTTGTTATTGGAAACGGGTAGTAAACCAACATATTCTGATGACCAGCCAGAAGCATACAGCAACCGGGTGTGTGCACTCAATCCTCAGACGGTTCAACTTATGGAAAGTAAGTATGAACTTAACATTAATGCCATAGAGTTTAAATTTAAATCTATACTGCGCACTCCAATGCTTGTATTTGACATTCAAGTTTTTGCGTCCTTATGATTGGGCAATAACATGACGTTACTTCCCACTAATCTTGACACGGTGATACTCTTCTGTGAGTGTACAGCAGTTTTAGCGGTGAAAATAAACCTCTTGCATTGCAGTGTGGCATATTTAGTTTTGGAACTTTTTAGCTTGCAGTAAAGTACATGGACATGAATGAAAATAGCAAATTAACAGGTACAGTAGTTGATGGCAGTGAATGATATTTTAATTGCTTAAAAACTATTGATATAGCAGCATAAATATTGAATAAAGGAATAGAAATTTTTGCTCATGTCTTTTAGAATCGTGGGCCATGGTGTGCATTCAGATCATTAATACCACTCTACTGTATGATTTTTTTTCAGAGATAGATGCTTGGCAACATATACAGGAGATTAGAACAAAGTCAGTTTGTAGGATGCAGGTATGGGATGCATGCTCAGACGCTCTGATAACGTTTGACCAGGGTGATCTCACAATAAGCGTTGCCCACATTGTTGAAAATGATGTGACGCTGAGGGCGCTTTCTAAACAGCTTGAAAAGACTAAAGTAGAAGTACAATACAACACCAAAGCAAAGAAAATTGAGTTCCCAAGTAAAGTCGACCCATCAGCCTGGGTCAAGATACAGTTGGAAAACGGGAAGTTTATTGAAACGAGGCTCCTAATTGCTGCAGATGGCAATAGATCAAAGATCAGGGAAGCAGCTAATATAAATCACATTGGATGGGATTATGACCAGTCTGGTGTTGTCGCAACGTTAATGCTCTCTGAGGTTTGTATCCACATGCTAACATATTTTCCAGTATATTTTGTACTGCATTATACTGTACTATAATTATTTATATTAATTTCTTTGTATTGATTAATATGCATCATATTTATGTCTTTATTTTGTCCGTATTCTTTCTTCTTTTTTTTTTGTGAGGATAATTAGTAGAAATAGTAGTGAATAGTGTAATAATAAATGTAATATAAGGGCTTTTGCATTCAAAAAAAAAATTCTTTATCCCACGTGGGGCAATTTCAAACAGGACTGAATAATACTGTGTTATATAAGCCTATTGTTCTTATAATTTATTAATTATTTGTATTGCATTTATCTGTAGCCTGTAGAGAATACAGTTGCCTGGCAACGTTTTTTGCCTTCAGGACCGATTGCAATGCTTCCTGTAAGTACTAGCTCATTAAAAGTTTACCTCATAGTTAATATTGTTATATTGAAATATTATGTTATGAAATAAAACGTAGATGACATGCTTTCAATGAATAAAGATGGCTTTTTTGTTTAGCTGACAGATACATTAAGCTCATTGGTATGGTCTGTGGGCCATGACAGAGCAAAAGCTTTGGTGTCGATGCCTGAAGACCAGTTTGTGGATGCTGTCAATTCTGCATTTGTAAGTGTCTGCTATTTTATTTTTAAATCAATATGAACTATAAGAAAAAAGAAACTTCAAGACTATTCTCTTTGTTTTATGCAACCGAGCTGTGCTATTTTATTTTTAAATCAATATGAACTATAAGAAAAAAGAAACTTCAAGACTATTCTCTTTGTTTTATGCAACCGAGCTGAGCGGTTGTATGAGAGGTATTGTTCCTGCTTCTTGTGCTTAAGACCCCGGTTCAAACCTGGCCAGGTCAGGTCACTCCCATAGTCCCAGCGTCAGGTTTTAACTGGAGTCTTACCGCTTGGCTCCTCCAGTAACCCTCATATTGAGAGTTAGGGCAGGTTAAGGACCATGTTTGAATTCGTTTATGTCCATTATATGTTTGTAGTTAAGTTGCAAAAGTATTAAGTTACTGGAATCTGTATGTGTGCTTGCCACCTAGGTTTCAGCATTTGTTGAACAGATGGAAATAAAATTATAATAATCATTATTATACATCACCTGCTATTTTATTTTTGATTTCTTGAATATTTATACAGTACTGTACTATATAATTAGTATTATTACAAGAATTTATATTAGATACAATTAAATAGATATAAAGCATTCATTTATCAATCGATTACTAAAATTATATTATATACGTATAATTTTTATTATATATTATTTAAATTTGTTTTGTTGTCAGTGGAAGGAATATGAAAGTCATGAGGTAGTGTATACCGTCTCCAACGTTGTTGATAGTCTGTTGAGGTTTGTCAAACCAGAGGGCACTGGTATTCGACAGCTTCCTCCTAGCATCATCGGTGTTAGTGATGGCAGTAGAGCAAGATTCCCTTTAGGATTGGGGCATGCTTCGTACTATGTTAAACCCAGATTGGCTTTAATAGGGTATGATTATTTTTATTCCTTTTTCATCTGTTTTTAATTAATCAAGTAATTGTTCAGAGTATGATGGAGTGAGCCTAGTTTGAACTGGACAGGCCTGCACTTACCATTGGCCACCACCAACAAGTATTTAGTGGATGTTGACATTCCTCCACCTAAATCTTTGAAGTCAAGCCAACGGTGGAATGAGAAATAAAAATTGGTTAACCAAGGGTGGATTCAGGTTCGTGGGGTGGGTGCTATAAAAGTCTTCAGTGTTATGAATCAACACCTACCTCAACTGTTTTGGGATACTTACTAGGCAATTCAGTTATAATACATTAAGGAGCCTGTTTAGTCCCCCACCCCATCCAATTGGCAATTATCAACTTGTGCTCCCTAATTATTGTCTTGGATATCAATTGTATATTCATCTTGTCCATTCATATCTAGTATCTATATTACATCATTTTCCAGAGATGCAGCCCATAGAGTTCACCCGCTTGCTGGACAGGGTGTTAACCTTGGGTTTGGAGATGTCATGAGCCTGACTTCCATTCTAGAAGAAGCATTAAGTATTGGAGGTGATGTAGGTAAGTAATCTTATATTACAGGTTACAGATCAACAAAATTATATCTTGGGAAGAAATATTCTCTCAGTTATTGTAGAGCAATAATATTGACTTACATGGCCCATGGTTGTGAGTCTTTCCTCCCAACATGAAGTGTTTTGGAATGAAATTAATACTGTAGTAGGTAATGTAGGTATTTATTTATGTGGTTACTAGGTAGATGACGCATTATATGTGCTACATTAAACCTGGTTTCCTTAAAATCTATACACTGTCGCTAACGCAGTCAGGAAGGTTATTATTATTTGAGTTAGACTTTGCCTAACTCAAATAATAATAATTTCTAAGTCAGACTTATTTTACATGCCAAATTGTTGTGTTTTCCATTAACATCTGCAAGACAAAATATTTTGTCATAATAATAAAATTGCTTTCTTTTCTGTATACAGGTTCTATGTTACATTTGTGCAAGTATGAGACTGAAAGGCAGCGGCATATTGTTCCCATTATGGCAACCATCGATGGCTTGAAAAGGCTGTACTCAACTGATAGACCAGAAGTTGTACTCCTGAGAACTGTTGGATTAAAGTTAACAAATGCAATACAACCACTGAAAGATCAATTGATGACAGGAGCTAGCAGTTGAGCCAATGAAATGCCTTGTTAGCAAGAAACAGAGTTGCTTATTGGTCAATATTAACTGAATATGCATAACATTTGAGACCCCTGAACATAAAAAATATTTACCCATAATTTGACCCTGCTAAATTGCTAAAAATTAAAGATATTTTCTAAGTCGATTTTCAATCTAATTTGCTTTCACATGAGTAGAAAAAGTATTTACTTGAACTCAGGAGAAGGGATTTAATAGGAACATGATGACCCAAAAGGGTTTTTGAAGTGAACAGGGGTCTGCCTTTTGCTGAGTTGAAAATCAGGCTCCGCAGGGAAAACATTTTTTGATATGTTATAGAACTTATTTTATAAGACAGAAAAAAGTTGTTTGACGAAAAATTCAAACACACATTCAAGATTCAAAAACGTGTTTTTTTTTTGTTTTTTTTTAAATTACGGTGGTAGGGGTGAGGTGGGCCCCTTTTGTTGGTCTTAAATTTCTGGTACTAAGCATTGTTTTTAACTACTTTAGTGAATTTTTATGTGCACAGGGAATTTGTAGTGTGTGGAAGGTTTTAGAAAAAAAAAATTATTTTATTTATATATTTTTACACATCACAATTTAATGCATACCAGTAAATTAAATTTGATATCTGTGCTTGCTCCAAACCACTAATGTACTACTGTTTACCTATAATAGTGTAAAATCATTTGGTGCTGTAGGCAATTGATCAAGATAATTCTCATGGTCAAAGGCACAAAAATATTTTTTGCAGGCCTATCACAGTAGATGTTGAAAAGTATCATCAATCTTAGCCAAGGCTACATAATAGGCAATATTATTATATATTATATTGTTGAAAGATCTGTGACAGAGAAACTAACGACATGTTAATTAAAGGTAGAGTACAATTGCATTCAATAGTGATATGGCCTAACAATATTTAAGAACCTGAAAAAAATAAATGTCCTTTTTTTAAAATACAAATTTATCTTAAACAGTAGACGAAGGACTATATAATAAATATAAACATTTACTGTCTTATAGTAATATCCATTTTTATTTCTTCAATAACATTTAAAAATACAGGTACATTAATTTGAATATACTTTTTATTCATAATATTTGTACAGTAATTGCCTTATTCACTAATAATACCTATACACATATAAACATTTGAATTGCTCATTTAAAAGAACCACACAAGCTTTAAAATACTGTATAGTATATACAGTTGAACCTCTGTCCGACCACTTGTCAAAAGCCTGTTTTGTTTCCTATTTAATCACTGCATTTGATACCTTTAGTAAGAGCCCACCTCTTGTAAGTAACCTCAACCACTTTTGTGCTTAAAAATTTACCCAACAACCTGAAGCTGATCTTAATTGTTCATGTTTTTGTGTTTTTCCTTTATACATACTATATACTATGAATTGTATATGGTAGCTGGCACATGTACAGGAAAGATTTCCCTTTCTTAGCTACCATCTCATATGAGAAATAAAATTATGAATTAATTATTTTTACCTCAGACCTGGCATTTGTGTATTCTTGTAAGCAACCTGGGCCCGATGATTGTCGCCTATGACCAATTTTTCTCAACTTTTATTTTCCAATAAACATACCGTAAATCCTTAAATAAGCATTGTTCTTGAATAAGCACGCACTGAAGATTCCAAAAAACATTTTATAAGCGCTCCGGCGCTTATTAAGGATTTATGGTGCATATTTTTGCAAATAATAAAACCAATAGTAGAGAAGGATGTGGAAAATAGTGAATACCCCCTTCACACACAAAAATTGCATAATGAACATAAGTACCAAAATTATTACAAATAAAAAAATAGATATTCAGTAGAACATACTGTAAAACATAAATATACTGTATAACATACAAATAAATATATTACAACATTGAAAGGACAGGTCTCCCTCTAATTAAAGACCCCTTCCAATTAATTTTCCAATTTTCTGTAGTGGCAAATTAATGAATGTCTTATTTTCAAGACAACCCAAAAGGGTCTTTAATTGGAGAGAGACCTGTATTTTAATTAGGAGTCTGTACATCCATATTGCATTCTGCTGATCTTTTATTAAAGCCTGCAGTGTAAAAAAAAACCAAAAAAACCTCAGGCTCTAACTGAAAGAAAATGTTTAAAGCAAATGTTTACATAATTAGAAATGCAATTGTTCATAACAACTTATCCCAAATCAGCCATTGTCAACAAAGTTGATAGAATTGTTAAGATAGTCAGTGTTGTGAAAGTAGAAAACCATGACAAAAAGCTATTAATAGTCCATGGTAACAGTAGCTTAGCAAGAAGTTTTGATAAAGTAATTTTATACCTAATTCTGATTGGTCAGTTATACTACGAGCATAACCAACATCCCTTTTACAGTTAACCTAGCCTAATTCTAATTCTATTAACTCAAAACTTATTTTACATGAAGTTGAACAATTTTTCAATGGCATTTTGGATTTGACTTAGGCAAGTTCTACAGTAAATGCTATATAAGAAGAATATTCTAGTAGAACTAATGTTGTAGGCTGTATGATAATATAATTTAATTTTTAATATTAATTTATACATAAGATGATTACATACATATATGATTGATTACACCTAGTTACCCCTTATGAAGTTTGTTTTAGATTGCGAGGAAATATATGGTAAGGATTACATAATATATAATATGCATCTATTGACACATATTGCAAATACAAGAAACTGGAGACCACTTTGGTTAATTTCGATCTTATCTTTAAAGCATGAACCATGGTAACTGGAACCCAGTATGTTTAAAAGCAAATTGCCCTTAAGTTTCTTTTATGTTGGACATTGCCTCATATTTCTTTGAATTGTTTCGATGGAATTTTAGAGGTTACAGCTTATTTTATTTCTTCTCGTAATACAGTACATGGTTAAAAGATTATTGTGAAATACGAGTCTAGCGCATGCGTGAATCAGTGAGCAACTGCGCGATAAGTGTACTCATTTTGTAGATAATGATGATGCTCCTACCAGAGACCATCAACATTATGACAAAGCCTTCAAGATTAGTTTATCAACACGTAATAGACGATGTGCTCTGCTGATGTTGTAATACTAAAACAAAATTAGGTTGACGAAACAACAGGATACATAAATGAGATTGTGTATTACATTTACTTTATACAGATATAATGTGGTGTGTGCAACTATGTTTGCTATTCTGCTAAAATCACTAATGGGAAAGGCCAATTACACAGTTAACATGCAATTCAATATTCAACCAGTTACTTAACATGCAGCTGAAATAGGGAGGAGTTAATGCTGTTATAATACAGGACTTCTGTGACATTAACTATCAATCCTATTGGATGAAATTCAATGGAGGCTTCAGATGATGACCTAATATGAAAATGCGATTAAGAATTTTGGCTTTGTTTATATCATTCCGACATGTCTGTGATGTCTATCATTCAATAATGTTCTTAAAACAAAGATAGGTACATTTGTTAGCAAGACAGAGCTACAGCAGCATCAAGAAAATCACACTCCATACTGAAGTTCTCACAGAAAAATATTACACATCAAAGAACACAGAAGTTCCCTCAGACACATACACATACCAAACAACCAAAGGACTTGGTGAAGTTCTCTCAGTAACATCATACAACACTGGCAAGTTCTCAGCTGCAGCACACTAGAGGATAATCAAAGGACCACTTTGGTAAGTAGAATAAGAAATATTTTCACATTGTAAGAGGCCTTTGCATTCAACTTCTTTCATGCTTTTAACAAGTCATATATCTTTTAATGCAATTTCTGGAAAATTAACAATTTCACTCAACTGACATCACCAAAAACAGCATAATTAATTAGTTGTCTAATTCAATTCAAATTTGGTCACAGGAGTACAAACTGACATGGCTAAGTAATTAGTGAATTTTTGATTAAAATAAAATTTTTTAAAAATCATATTAAAGCTATAATTATGTAAAAGGTAGGAAGAACATGGTCACAGGATCCCCCAAAATGATTCTACTATGCGTTTTAGAATTGCGACACTCCTCTACATATGCAGAATATTTTATTATTATTCATTCGCGTTACTGGACATTTGTTAGCAAGTACAATTCCCATATGTGAGGGGTTGATTTTCTGGATGCAGGAATGCCATATAGAATGTAGCAAACGTTTATGGATATTAATGGCCAGCTAAAGATATGCATTTTGATGTTAACATATGATGCCAGCGACTCTTTCGACATGTAGGCCTAACTAGGAACCTGTTGACAATATATGCCTAGTTTTATTTAAGAGTAACTATATTCAATTTATTTCCACACACAAGAAACAATATTAAACATGCAATTAAGAGGAGAGGGCAATAAACAGTATAACAAATACTATGCTGAGAGATGACGGTAGACCGTCCCGATGCATTGTGCGTGTTTTTTCCGATCACCAATAGAATGTATGCAGAACATCTTGATGTCTCTTGCTTTGCTAAAGCATAACAGAAATATGTCTTTCGTTAAAAACAAAGAAAGCTAAAGATACATTTTGATTGGATAATATAAGTATACTACACAATATATGATGCCATCCTTTCGACAACAATATTAAACATGCAATTGAACAAGTCCAATTAAGAGGAGAGGTTGATAGACATTCTCTGAGAAGAAGCTAAATTTATTTGCTTTGTAAATGTCATCAAAAATACTATGCTGAGAGACGACGGCAGACCGTCCGGATGCATTGTGTGCGTCTTTTACAATCGCCAATAGAATGTATGCAGAGCATCTTACTGTCTCTCTTGCTTTGATAAAGCATAACAGAAATATGTCTTATGTTAAAAACAAAGAAATGCAAAGAATCATTTTGATTGGAAAATATAAGTGTACTACACAACATATGATGCCATGCCTTTCGATATGTAGGCTTAACTAGCAACCTTGTTGACAATATATGCCTAGTTGTATTTAAGTAACCCTATTCAATTTTTTTCAACATACAAGAAACAATATTAAACATGTAATTGAACAAGTACAATTAAGAGGAATTTGGAGAAATGTTTCGAAAGGAATAAAGATCATGAAAAAAATGCGAAACATTTTGCAGTCAGCATTATTTTATTAAAGCAAGACAGAAGCAGGTCTTTTGTCAAAAACAAAGTAGGCTTAACTAGCGACCTGTTGACAATATATGCCTAGTTGTATTTAAGAAACTGTATTCAATTTATTTCCACATACACCAATATTATTAAACATGTAATTGAACAAATACAATTAGGAGAGAATTTGGAGAAAGGTTTGGAAAGGAATGAGATCATAAACAAAATAAAAACAAAAGGAGGACATGCTTCTAGCTAGTCCGGATGGATGCAATGTGAAATTGTAATTATTATTTTTTTGTCAAAGGCGGCACAGGAAAATGCATGATTCATGCGCAGTGTGCAATCTCAATTTTCACTGCAATAAGGATAGAAATTGCTTGCACTTAGCTTATGAGGATAAAGATTCCACTATATTCCCTCAGTAGACGTTTGTTTAAATTTAGAATGGCAACACTTAAGAATACTGAGTGAACATATACTGAACATTTTGCAGTCAGCAGTATATTATTAAAGCAAGACAGAAGCATGTCATTTTTCAAAAACAATGTAGGCTTAACTAGCGACCTGTTGACAATATATGCCTAGTTGTATTTAAGAATAAGAGTAACTATAATCAATTTGTTTCCACACACAAGAAACAAAATTAAACATGCAATTGAACAAGTACAATTAAGAGGAGAGGGTGATAGACATTCTCTGAGGAGAAGCTGAATTTATTTCCTTCGTAAATGTTATCAAAATACTATGCTGAGAGACAACAGTAGATGTTCCAATGCATTGTGTGTGCGTTTTTTTCGATCACCAATAGAATGTATGCAGAACATCTTGCTGTCTCTATTGCTTTGCTGAAGCATAACAGAAGCATGTCTTTCGTTAAAAACAAAGAAAGCTAAAGATACATTTTGATTGGATAATATAAGTATACTACACAACATGATGCCATGCCTTTCGACAACAATATTAAACATGCAATTGAACAAGTAAAAAATGAAGAGGAGAGGGCGATAGACATTCTCTGAGAAGCCAAATTTATTTGCTTTGTAAATGTCTTCAAAAAAACTATGCTGAGAGACGACGGCAGACCGTCCCGATACATTGTGTGCGTCTTTTACAATCGCCAATAGAATGTATGCAGAGCATCTTACTGTCTCTCTTGCTTTGATAAAGCATAACAGAAGTAGGTCTTTTGTTAAAAACAAAGAAATGCAAAGAATCATTTTGATTGGAAAATATAACTGTTACTACACAACATATGATGCCATGCCTTTCGATATGTTGGCTTAACTAGCAACCTTGTTGACAATATATGCCTAGTTGTATTTAAGTAACCGTATTCAATTTATTTCAACATACAAGAAACAATATTAAACATGTAATTGAACAAGTACAATTTAAGAGGAATTTGGAAAAATGTTTCAAAAGGAATAAGATAATGAACCAAATGCGAAACTGCAATTATTATTTTTTGCTGAAGGAGGCAAGAGAATCGAATAAAAAATGTGCAATTCAGACACAGTGTGCAATCTCAATTTTCACTGCAAGAATATAAGGATAGAAATTGCTTGCACTTAGCTTATGAGGATAAAGATTCCACTATATTCCCTCAGTAGACGTTTGTTTAAATTTAGAATGGCAACACACCTTTAAGAATCCTGAGTGAACATATACTGAACATTTTGCAATCAGCATTATATTATTAAACAAGACAGAAGCATGTCGT